TTTCCCATATTAGGGAAGTTTTCAACTATAATCTCTTCAAATATTTTCTCAGTCCCTTTCTTTTTCTCTTCTTCTTCTGGAACCCCTATAATTCGAATGTTGGTGCGTTTAATGTTGTCCCAGAGGTCTCTGAGACTGTCCTCAGTTCTTTTCATTCTTTTTTCTTTATTCTGCTCTGCAGTAGTTATTTCCACTATTTTATCTTCCAGGTCACTTATCCGTTCTTCTGCCTCAGTTATTCAGGATTTGACTTTTTTTATCGTTTCTACAGACATTTTCACTAAAATTATACAACATAAATTTTTAAGATACTATCCTTAGGAATCTGGGCCAAAGGACTGAAATAAGGGTGTGTATGTGTGAGTGCACATGTGTTTAATTTTGATAATTCAATTACTAAAGCCGTCTTGCTTGGTTTAAGATCTAAGATAAATTATGCCAAGGAGAGATAAATTATGCCATGGTGTGGCAAGCCTTGACTGTATGTATTGTAGCAGATTTAGTGTATTTGTTGATTTGATCGGTATTTATTGAGTGCCTAACATGTACTAGGTTAAGATTTAAAAAAAAGAATAAAACATAATTCCTTCCTTGAAAGAGTTGGTTATTTGGGAGACCAACACACAAGCAGAGCATAGTAGAGCTATGTACCACGTGTCTGATAGAGCTGTGTGCAGACAGTTATGTGTCCTTAGGAGAGGTGGGTGCATTGGGAGGCAGGTGTTAAGGAAGGTTAATGATTATGACTTTTGTTTTAGCAATTATAGATCCTGGATTTTGTTTCTGGTCCATTGATGAAGATGTTGTCATTTCAGGAAAGTCACTATTTTAAAAATATATCATAAAAAAATATATATATATCATAGCTCTATTGTGAAAGGATTTTTATAAAGATTGAACCCACATTTTCATGTTAGGTTATCGTTTTGTAAGCAACAATCTGAAAGTAGTTACTATCTGGAAAAAAATTTAAAAGCGTGCATTTGGTCTTAATTCCCTAATTTTATTCCCCTCCATTGGGAAAACTTAGGGGGAGGGGAGAGCTCAAAGGAGAAAAAATGAACTGTTACCTAGCTGTCCAAAGGCAACTTTTAATGCTTTAAATATGGGTTCATATATTTGAGGGTTTTAATTATAATTTTCTGAGTTTTGAAGAAAGTGCTGTTTAAAAATTTAATACCCATACTGGTGCTTACTGGGCCTGTTTTATGCCAGAATCATGCTGAGTAATGCAGGGAGACACTACAGAAAAACACAGAGCATGGCATTGCCCTCAATTAGCCCACAAGCCTTTGGAGGAATTTAGTGCAACATGAACGAAATAAATAAAAACTGCTTAACTTGGCATAATTTCTGTTAATATTCCTCTGAAGGTGCAGAAGGGTTCTTGAAAGGCCCCCTGTATGAGGAAACAGAAGCATCAGATGATGTTGATGGAAGTCATGATTCTGTCATTTTGGATCCAGAGAGACTTGAACCTGGACTGGATGAGGAGGATACGTAAGTGATATACCCGGATAGCGTGTGCGTGCATGTCATTTAAATTGTACTTTAGGGCTTCCCTGGTGGCGCAGTGGTTGAGAGTCCGCCTGCCGATGCAGGGGACACAGGTTCGTGCCCCGATCTGGGAAGATCCCATGTGCCGCGGAGCGGCTGGGCCCGTGAGCCATGGCCGCTGAGCCTGTGCGTCCGGAGCCTGTGCCCCGCAACGGGAGAGGCCACACAGTGAGAGGCCCGCGTACCGCAAAAAAAAAAAAAAAAATTGTACTTTAATCATTTCTGGTTTAGCAGGAGCTGGTTATGTTACTTTACATCATTAATGAATACTTATATCTTGATCTTTTGTCTGGCATGGGTAATGTGTTATGGTATTATCACAGAATTCCTGACTGAGCCATGTGTTTATAATCATTTAGCTTGAACTTATTTTTTAATATACCAGATTTTTATATTGAAAAAGTTGTAGAAACATTGAAAGGAGTGATCCTTTGGAAGGCTAACCATTTTTTTTCCTCTGTTCAGTTGCCTTATGGAGCTTAGTTTTCAAAAATGTCGGTATTGTTACGGTGGTGTACTGATTTGAACCCATCGACAAATATTAACTGTACTCCTTAAATGGAGGCTTGATATCCAGATTGTTTTTTCACAGGGACTTTGAGGAAGATGACAACTCTGACTGGGTATCAGAACTGAGACAGCGAGCTGGCTGGCAAGGAGTATCTGATGGATAACACCCAAGGAAATGTTCCTTAGTCACACTGAGGAGACGTTTAACATGAGGAATTGATATTTGGATAATACTTAACTCACAGAATGTGTATTTTCCTTTAGAAACAGAGTGAAGAGAGGGAAACTGAATATTTAAAATTATTCCTGGTTAGTATAAGGTATAAAAAATCTAGAACTCTTATGAGTTTTTGAATTCAGAGGAGAAGGCATAGCAGAATGGGTATGAGGTTTGGGCTTTGTGGTCAGAACGGAAATTGAATGCTACCACCTATTCCTTGTGTGACTGTGAGAAATTAACCTCTTTGAGCCCGAATTTCCTCAACTACAAAATGAGGATAACAATGCTTACCTCACAGGGATGCTGACCTTAGACCATCACAGCAGCCCTTAATGTTATTATTTCCATTGTTATGATTTATGCTTATTTCTAGGTAGCTCTTTTTATATCTCCTAAAGGTTTGAGGACCTAAATATATTTAATTATAACATAATAATGTGTGTGATTTTTCAGTAAGGCCTATTTCTGGGTAGTGATCAATCATCTTCAGTGATCACCAACTACCAGCTGTCCTTAAATACAGCCCCTCACAGGATGCACAAAAGAGCCCAGGTCGGAGGATCAGCCATGGGAGGAGTGGGGTGGGCTACAGAACTGGTCAGAAGTTGGTGGTCCTGTATATTAGAAAGGAATGGGGCCAAAGGTGAGAAGTCCATACAGCTAGTAGCAGAAACCAGTGCTGTGGAACTAATGGCGGGCAGGACCCCAACACGTCTGGGTTACCAGGACACACATGTGCCGAGGCCTGTCATTTCATGCTGTGATACTTTAGTGAAGGGAGACTATTTTACTAAAGCAACTGGCTCTTCGCAGGGGATCCCACAGGGGCAAGTGTGGGAACAGCATAAGCCTGTCCTGGGATAGGGAACGATGCTCAAATAAACAAAAGGGGGAAATAGTTGTGAGACTACAGTAGGATCATTAATAAAGGTCTGCTGAAATGTGGACTATGTATGTCTTTTAAAGAGTTAAACATTTAAAAAAAATCTTAACATACAAAAACTGTCATAGCTTTCACTACCCCCGCTCCCATCCCCCATTATTTATACTCAAAACATTTGGTCATCCTTAGTCTCCTCTGGTCTCTGAGTCTCTCCATCTTCCCTTATTTTTCAGAACCCTGACATTTTTGAGGCGTACTGGTTAGATGTTCGGTAAGATGTCCCTCAATTGGGGATTGTCTGATGTTTTTCTCATGATGGGACTGAGCGTGAGTGTTTGAACACCACAGACGTGAAGTGCTCTTCCCAATACATCCTGTCAGGGGTGTGCCATCTCCTCACGACATTACTGCTGTTGTTAACCTTGATCTCTTGGCTAAGGCAGTGTCTGCCGGGGTCTCTGCTGTAAGTTCCTAATTTTACGTTTCCATGTTCTAGTCACTCTGAGACACTAAATCCAGCCTATTCTCAAGTGGAGAGGATATTGCCAGGTACTCGGCTTCCATAAATACTGTATTTGATACCTCTTAGACATCTCAAATCTTAGCACTGCCCCAGGGTGGAAACATTTCCAAACCAACCAACACAGGGAACTTGAAACTATGTATAGTTACTGAGAGATTGAATGAATCTTGATGGGATGACAAATCCTTTTTTGAAAGTCAGATGGTTTGCAGGGTTTTGCTTATAACAGAATTTCAAGAGATTCTAATGGATGATTAGAAACCAATTTTAGTGATAGATTACTGTGTAATTCTTGACATACAACTAGGCAAGAATTGAGGGTCACTTTTAACAAAACTTCCAATTCCATTTACTTACTTACACGAATAAGGTTTTTCAGCACTTACAGCTTTAAAGAAAAAGATTAAAAAAAGAGGTTTGATGAAATAAAATTATTTTTAAGACAGGACAAGAATCTTTTTTAAACAAAATTTTCTCTCTGTCGGTTTCTACCACTACTACCCCTTTTTAGTGTGCATTGTGCGTGTGCATTATACATTAGCTAGATCCCCTTAGAAGACACAGAAATGCCTGCTCACCAAAAAACACAAAACAACAACCCCCCCCCCCCAAACAGCAATTTTCTCTTGTTGTCAGCAAGGTAACTCCTCAGGGGATAACGTTTCTTTCTTAATCCTGTAAGGGGTCACGATGACCCACTACTCACCTTGCTGGACTGTGTAAACTGTCAGTATGTTACTTTGACGTACAATATAACCTTTTGTCTTGAAAACGTATGTAATTGTGCTTTGGGAGGAACAATCCTCAGAGCTTTCTGAAAGACTGTCCCCTGGGTTATAATCCTCAGGTTGGCTCAAATAAAATTCTCCATTTCTTTCTTAGATTGACTATTGATTAATTTTTCATGGACAGACTCAATGTTGAACTTCGTCTATTCCAGCAAAAAGCGTTATCTGTGGATACTAATTGAGCTAATTGGGGAGAAGAAGAGGAAAGCCCATTCACGTCTTTAAGAGAGAAATTTCCAATACTATGTTGCTTTTTATATTTAATAAATATTCGTGATTTGGGTCAGTTGTGTACTACTAGTAATTTTAATGAATTTTTAAAAGCCTATTAGAAAATAGAAATTAATTTCCATTGATATGATAGGGTGATGGGTAAGATTTTGAATCATGAAAAACAGTACGTATGGAGATATGAGTTCAAGGAGAGAAAGGAATGATGTAAACTTTCTAATTCTTAAAGGAGAGCTTTCTTTTTAAAAAACTAGATATGGTGGGTTTCAAATTGCCCTGGTATTTAGATTCCATTGGTTATGTTTTACTTGTGTCAATATTTATAATTGCTGGAAATTACATCCTTTCAACTGCTTAAACATGTAATGAAACGTTTCTGACGGCACCTTGATGTGCAGTGGGAATGAGGAATGCGTAATGGGCGATGGGGAGATGGTGAGAGAGCATGTTTGCAGACCACTGGGCAGTAGCTCGTTTTATAAGAGGACCCCATGGGAGGCCGCCAGCTGTGGTCAAAAGAGCAGGGCTCCGTTCCAGTCTCCATCTCTTGACAGTATTTGAGACCTTGCACGAGAAACTCTCAGTCCAGCTCAACTGTAAAACTGGGCCACTACTACCTGACTCGGTTGTCGCAAGGCATAAAGAGAATATATGCAAAGCCTCTGGTACACCGTAAGCAAGAACGGGGAGCGGGAGCGGAATGCTTGTCGAGTGTAAGCAGAGGAGTCCCGACCTAAGGTGACGGAGGTGACGCGGCCAGGTCTCCAAACGCCGCGGCCGGCCCCCACCCCTCTTCCGGGTGGACTGCGTGGACCTGTCCTCTCGCCGCTCTGGCCCCGCGCCCCGCCTGCCTTCCCTAGCGCGGCTCCGCCCCGGCCGCCAGCGGGCGCAGAAGCGTCTGGAACCCGGACCCACCCGGGATACTACTCTGGCCCCGCGGAGCAGGCGGAGCAGGTATGCTATGGGTGGTCCCCTCAGTCCGAACCCGGAGCTGCCCCCAGGGCCTCCGGGAGCCCCGGGGAAAGGGTGGAGCCCCAGCCCGGGAAGACGCGAGCCGCAGAAGTGCGGTCTCCGGTCCCGGGCCGCGTCGGTCTCCATGGCAACGCGCGGCGCACCCAGCTCCTGGCCCCCGCGGGAGTTCTGCAGCCTTCCCGCCGGCCGCCTCCCGGAGAGTGTTTCTAAGGGAGAAGGATTTTTCCCCCGGAACTTAGGGGCTTCCATCCACCGGTGCCTCTTGGGCGGGAGCGTCGCGGTCCCTCAGTTCCTGCGCAAGTGCCCTCGAGTTACGATTCCGCCAGCGCCTCCCTCAAAACCCGACCCTCCAGTGTCCCCAAGCCTTCCCTGGCTGCGGAGCTGGCTTCCAGCCCTATCCCACCTAATCGTCCCCCCTTCCTGCACTGACACAAATTATTCAAAAACGTAACCTGCCTGCTCACTCAGGTTTTAAAAATCAGCAAGATTCCCTAACTGTAGTATTGAATATAACGGGGAAATGCAGTGGAGCAGTTTACGCAAAGCCCCAGAGGCTGGCGGCTGGCCGAGGGCCGCCCGGCCGCGTAGCTTCCAGAGAGGTGGCAAGTGGTCGGAAGCAAGTGCTGGGCCGCCAGAACCTGCCCAAGACAGTTCAGAAACAACCCCACTGGGAATTACTGGCCCGTTTTTTGCCCACGGGCTATTGAGGGTGTACTTGTGTTACAAGCACCGTGTTTCCAAAGAAATGGTAGAGAGGAAGGGACCACACCGCTTACTACCCCCGGAGAATTCACCTTCCCCTCTCGAGAAGCCAGGACCCTGGGCTGAGAGTGACGAACCCAAATCAAAGGCGCCTGGGCACCAAAGGGAATGTTAGACCTTCTAACTGGGGATTCTGACTGGGTAGGTCTTGGATGGGGCCCTTGTATACTCTGGCCTTACACACCCTCCTGCCATACCGAATCTGATCAGACGAATCTAAGTGCCACAGTGACTCTCTTTATTATAAAGTCTATATTTCAATCTGTAAATTCTTGGTACTGCTACACTGGAAGAAGTAGTGAAGTAGCAGGGAGTCACCTGATAAGGACAGCTGCAAACTTTTAGGTCTCAGCTGCCAGGAGCAGCGTGGCCAGTGGGGGAGTGATTTTCCAAAACGGTGAACAGTTCCTGGTAAAGTTCCGAACAAGGTGCAGGCAAGCCTTGATTTACATGTAGTTGCATTCCTCGAAATTCAGTGTTAAATAAAACTGTGCAAAATATACTTTGTATTTAGATGTAAAATAGTTTGGTTTTAGCCGCAGATAATTATAAACGGATTTTTCCAAGCACGTGAATGTGTACGGAGACTTTTTAAGGTTGTAGGGGCGCTGGAAAATACTGTGCGGGACCGTCCCTAGCATCGCAGAATCTTAGTATCTCAGACCCCAATGGCTTCTGAAAGCCTTCGTGCCTGCCTCTCCATCTCTGCGAACAGAAAAAAACTCCGTTAAGTTTCAAAAATTTCCCCTAGGGGGCAGTAACGCCCCGCTGAGAAAGGCTGGACTGTAAAACCACACAAGCAGGACAATTCCTGCTGCCTAGAGGTGCCCAGACGGGGATATTATATTTTTCTTTCTCAGAACAATCTTCAAAAACATTGTTATTTCCATTTCAGAAATTAGAAAAGAGAGGTTTTACGAATTAAGTTATTTGCCCGAGATGACAACACTAGGGTGTATCAAAGTTGAGCTGCAGCCCCAGTCTGACCAGGGAGCTGACTAAGCTCTGTCTCACTTTGGTTGTTACCTGTGGCCGCAAGGAAAGTTATTTGATTCAGTCTTGGCGAAATTAGAATGAAAGTTTTAGCAAAATGAGTTCTTACGTTGTAGTGGTCTGTTTTCTGACTTGTTCATATTTATGAAAAGTGTGCAATAAAATTTCATTGCTCTCATTTCAGGTAACTCCATGCATTGGAGACCATGGATAAATATGATGTGATTAAGGCCATTGGGGAAGGTGCCTTTGGGAAAGCATACCTGGCCAAAGGGAAATCAGATAGCAAGCACTGTGTTATAAAAGAGATCAATTTTGAAAAGGTAAAGTTAAAATTCCTGTTCATTTTCAGTGGTATATTCATCTGGCTTTTAATCCAGTTTGTCAAGGAAACACACCTTTTTTTTTTACAAGTATGAGTGAGTTGACTTTTGTTTGCTCAAGTCCATTGTCCAAACAGCAACCAATGATCTTATTTTCATTTTTATTTTTAAATTTTATTTTTATTTTTGGCTTGAGCCATGCGGCATATGGGATCTTAGTTCCCCGACCAGGAATGGAACCCATGCCCCCTGCTGGGGAAGCAGAGAGTCTCAACCACTGGACTGCCAGGGTAGTCCCCAGTGATCTTATTTTTAAAGAAGGAAAGAAAGAAAAAAAGGAAAAGAGAAAAAGATGTTATCGTCCTGGCTCCTATGGTACTCCTTACAGTGATAACATCTTTTTTTTTTTTTTTTTTATCCTATGGCACGTCTGTGAGATGCCCCCTCCTCTGTTGCTCTAGTTCCTCTGTTTTGCCATGTGCTTCCTCTGACTGCCTCTCCAAATTCGGGTCCCCTCCACAAGGAGACCTTCCCCAAGCATCCTAGCCAAGGTAGCTCCCTGACTTCAATCACTCCTTATCACACCACCCTGGTTTATTTTCTTAGTAGCATTTATAATGATCTGGAATTACTCTGCTCACTTATTTCTTGTCTATCTCCTTCCCCATGCAGAACAGTGCCTGGCACATAATAGGCGCTCGGAAATATGTATTGAATGCATTGAAGGAATGGAGGAAAACCCTATGTTATTGTTAGTCTAATGGTTTTGGAGAATAATTAAATATATTTGATTTAAGAGGAATCATTTTTGCTAAATTTCCATTGGTTTGTGTTTATGTTACCCTCTCTAGTGGCTGTGTTGGCTTCAGATATACAGGGATAACAGTGTCCATTATGGGCTAGAATACATGTTAAGGCAAGTCTCGTTGGTTACCTTCTGGAGGATTTATAAGTGAGAGGAGCAGAAAAACTTCCATACAAAATGGGTACAAAATGGATGAATCAAGTTGCACTTATGCGAATGTACTTAGTGCCACTGAACTGTACACTTAAAAATGGTTAAAATGGTATCAATTTTATGTTGTATATATTTTACCATAATTTTTAAAAATTGGGGAAAAATAGGGACTTCCCTGGCAGTTCAGTGGTTAGGAATGGGTGCTTTCACTGAAGGAGCCTGGGTTCAATCCCTAGTGGGGGAACTAAGATCCCACAAGCCATGCAACATAGCCAAAAAAAAAAAAAAAGAGGAAAGAAAAAAAATTGGGGAAAAATAAAAGGACTTCCCAAACTTACATTAAAACTCAGGTGTAGATGATTAGCTTCAGGGCGAATGCTTTATTTACCAATACAGGTCCCTTTCCATGGATCCACCACCTATGTCTGCTAATGTCCTCTTAGTCTAGTGGCCTGTGAGGGCTTCCTTCCACGACCTTATTCTCCTTACTCTCTTTTGTTTATCTGACTGCTCTTTCTCCGGCCTGTCTGTCTCTTCACCCTCCGTATGTCCCCGACCACCTATCCTTTGCCAACTCTCTTTCTGTGTACTGTTACCTGACAGTCACCTCCTTTCAATCTTTACCACTAAACAGATCACTCTTAAAACTCTGTCCAGCCTTGGTATCTTCCAGAGCCCTAGTTGTGCATTTCATTAGCCAGCTAGATATCTTCAAGTAGTATCTGTGTGAGTAATCTACTGCTGTGTAACATATTACCCCAAACTTCGTGGCTTAAATAATAGACACTTATTATCTCACAGTTTCTGGGCATTAAGAATTCAGAGTGAGGGGTGTTGAGGACCATCTTGGAAGCTAGCTAACACAATTGTACCCCAAAGTAGAAATTTCTCACTTTTCTAAGCAGATCCAGGTCACCCACTCTGTGCTCCTCTGTGTTAATGACACCAGTATTTTTATGATATCCAGGCTCAAAACCTTGGGGTCATCGGTGAATTTTTTCTCTCTCCCCATCCAATTACTTGCTAAATGCGGTTGATTCTTTCTCTCCCTTGAATTTGTTTCATTCCTTTTGTCAGTGGCCTGGGTTACTTGGATCACTTCAGTACGTTTCTCATGGTTCCAGCTCTCATGTAACAAAATATTGGGAATTCTCCCCCCAGGCTCCCAAACCTTCCCTGGGACAGAAGTCATAGAGGAAAAGATGGCTAGATGCGTCGTCATCTTTGACTACACTAAAATATAAAACTTCTGAATGATGGAAAACCATCATGAATAAATGGAAAGAAAACTGACAGAATGCCCAAAATACTTGCAAGTGTTGACTAAAGTGTGCTAGCTTTTTTTTTGGCGACGCGGTGCAGCATGTGGGATCTCAGTTCCTCCAGCAGGGATCAAACCCAGGCCCTTGGTAGTGAGAGCATGGAGTCCTAACCACTGGACTGCTAGGGAATTCCCTGTGCTAGCCTTTTATAAATCTTAAAAAGAAAAAAAATTATAACTGAAGAAGTCATCATATACAAATTTCAAACTCGTTAGAAAACTAAGAAAAGTAAAATAAATCTATTGATTTTATATCACTTTTTGCTGATACAATTGGAAAGGATTGAAAAGAATATAAAAGTGGAGGAAGCGGGCACTCTCTTGCTCTGCTGATAGGAGGGTAAGTCACCCCGAGGGAAATTTATCAATACGTATCAAAGCCTTAGAAGGATCCATGCCCTGTTTGTATCATTGATGAGGAGTAAGGTCCGAAATACGTTGTAAAGATGAAAAAAAATCAGGCCACAAAAAGTTATGTATATATATGTATGTACTGTTAATGTCACACACACACACACACACACATGCACACACAACATTAACAGTGGTTATTGCTGATTGGTGGGATTTCACCTCTATCATTTCTTTCTGCGTGGTCAGAATTTTTAATATGAAGCATATATTATGTTTTTAAAATTAAGAATTGTATTATTTGTATAAGCAGAAAAAGCTATCTTCATCTTGAAAAAGAAAAGAAAAAAAAAATGTATGCATCCTAGGATCTGGTAGTTCTCCTTCTGGGATTGTATTCCAAGGAAATACCCAGAAATGTGCAGACAGTCAGCAAACAACCTAAATGTCCAACAGTTGGGGATTGGTTAAGTAATTTGTGAAAGACTAAGCTGTTCATCAAAATCACGTTGTAGTCAAAGTATTGACATGAGAAGTATCATAACTTTTGCTAATTAAGAAAATAGTACGTGTAGAATGATGCAATCTTTGTAAAAATATATGCATTATCTCTCTATATAAGTATGTATATTCCCACACATATCTGCCCATACATATAGGAAAGACCTACTTACTACATTATTATCGAGGTGGAATGTGGGATTATGAGTAATTTTTGCCTTGTACTTTTATATCATTTCACTCTTCAGATTAGTTTTGACACCCCTCTCTGATTTGTTCCCAAATTCCATTTTCAACCTCCCCTCACATACTCTTCCTTTTTGCCACATGCAAATCCTTTGCACCGCAGCCTCTGTGCTCACCCGAGGGGCTCTTTCTTCCCAAAAGGTCTTTGCCTGCCCATCCAAGCATCAAGATCCCACTTGTTCAGGGCTGGGACTCAGTACACCTTGTAGAACCTTCCAGATCTAAGTAACCTCTCTTTCTCTGTAAACTCCATAGCTTTTTTTTTTTTTTGCGGTACGCGGACCTCTCACTGTTGTGGCCTATCCCGTTGCGGAGCACAGGCTCCGGACGCACAGGCTCAGCGGCCATGGCTCACGGGCCCAGCCGCTCCGCGGCACGCGGGATCTTCCCAGTCCGGGGCACGAACCCGTGTCCCCTGCATCGGCAGGCGGACTCTCAACCACTGCGCCACCAGGGAAGCCCTCCATAGCTTTTTATCCGTACTGCTGTTATGGTACTGATTGCTGTCTACTTTGCTGTGCTTTAGCTGTTTATTTTGTGTCTTCTCCTCCTTGTTAAACTGTATATTCTGTGCAGGCAGAATCCAGGTCTTTTGCACCTTGGTATTCCACACAGCAGCTAAGAGTTCTTTGCACCAGTAGCGGGTCAATAAATTCTTATTGGATAAATAATTCAATGCATAGATACTTTCAGGCCTTCTAGCTCTGTTGTTAAGCTGGTACATATTTAGGAATTATAAAACCATTTAAATTCTAAGTAAAGAAAAAATTATGTGGGAGGTGAATCCTCTATAAAAATATATATTAATACATTTCATAGAGTCTCTCCCATTCTTTAGTATAGATAATAAAAAGCTGACTGTATATTTCTCATAGAGCAGTGAATTTTTTCATCTTTTACTTCATGAACCACCCTAGTCCCCATGCCATAAATAAGTAGAATTTCTATTGGGCCTCGTTATTGTTCTTTCCCATATCTCTCTTTGTTATCAGAGTTGCCTAACAACATTTGTGTCACAGTATTAACATTTATTACTTATTTTTTTCTTTCTACTCTAATGTACTTTTTCATTACTTCTTATCTAGAGAAATTTACATTTCTTCTCAGCTCTCCAGCACCCCTCCACAAAGCAAACTCTAGACCCCAGAACTTAAATCGCTTATTTTCTTACAGGTACCAAAAAGCTCTATATTTTCTATCATCATCCTACAATTATCAAGCATATTCTTTTATTTCTTGCCTTCAAAAATGCATTGTATCTTTTCTTGATAATAAAAATTAAAATGTTCATTAAAGAAATTTTGAAAAAAACTGTAGGGAAAAATAAGGCTATTTAGAGGAAAATGAAAATCACTTTTAACCTCTCTCTTCATCACTATTAACATTATGGTGAAGTTCTCTCCAGGCTATTTTTAATGCATAAATGTACCTTGTAAGTTATTAGAATATATTAGATGATTGATGTCATGGTGGATATACTCTTTTATAGCAGCTTTTTACCCTTAGTATATTGTGAATATTTTCTCATGTCATTCAATGTTTTCATATAATAAAATGTTCTCATATAATATCATTCAATGTTTACAGTAATAGTGGGTGCCTAGCAGACTTCATGTTATCCCAGGTGTTTTACATAATTAATCAATTTAATCTTCCCAACAACTGTAAAGGTAGATCTCATCACCCTCACTGTTTAGGTGAAAGGGCTGAGGCTCAATGAGGTTAAGTAATTTGCTCAACAAGGCACAGTGACCAGCAAATCCTTCTACCTCTTCCTCTGCTCTTCCTGCCAGTGCTTCCGTGGATTTTTGATGACCGCATAGTGTGACATTAGGTTAAAAATACCATATTTTATCTAACTCTTTTTCTATTTTCAGAGAGTTATGTTGCTTGATTTTTTTGCTATGATTAAATAACGTTTAATATGTAGAAGAGTCATTTTTTCTTAAACTGTGTATATGTGTTTACCTATATGTGCATTAAATAAAAAGGTCTAACAATTAGCAGCAATCACTCCTAAGGAATAGGAATTCGTGGGATGGGTGGGGAGGAAAAGGGGAAGTTTTACTTTCATCTTATTTACTTCTATCTGGCTTAAAATATTGTTTCAAATCACTAGTGTATATTCTTAATTAAAAACTAATAGTAAAACACTGAAATGAAGGCTTTTGTATGAGAGCCCTTGGGCACATTTCTGATTATTTTCTTTGGATAAACTTCTAGAAGGATTAATAAGTTAAAAATAGGAGCATTTTAAAGTCTCTTATTAGATACTGTAAACTTGTTTTCCTAGAAAGATTTTACCAATTTATATACTTACACCAGAAGTATGTGAGTGCCATTTTGCTTTCTGGTTAACTGTGGGTATTAACATTCTTTTTGTCTTCGCCAATTTCACAGATGAAACATATTAAATTTTGTTTTAGTCTTCTTTTATTACTGAGTGAGGTTGAATATTTTTTACTGTTTCTGAGCCATTTTTAATTTATTTTTTTGAGAGTTGCCTAGGCATGTATTTTCCCATATTTCTATTGGCATATTTGCCTTTTTTTCTTACTTGCCAGAATCCTTATATGTTATAAATACAAAAAATCTTTGTCATATATATTGCCAGTATTTTTACCTAACTATAAAAATACACTTATCTCCCTATGTTTGCCTTTCAATTTTGTTTATCATAGTCTTTTGAAAAAAACAGTAGTTATAAATTAAAGTAGTTAAGTAGCTAAGTCTATCCTGGTAGCGTATTTCAGTTATTTTTATTTTGAAACTCATATGTACCAATTATGCAATTTAAAGTGGGGGGAAAGATACTGAAGCTTAGAAGATTTAAATAATTTACTGAAAGATACATAGCTAGGAGGCAGTAAAGCTGGGATGGAGAATAGTAATTTTTTTAAAAATTTTCAAATTTAAATGAGGATGAAAAATTTGGGAACTCACACATTACCTGTGGGCCAAATGTTGAAGGTCATTACAGAGGGAACTGTGGAGAGGACCAGTAACCCATGGAGGCCAGAAGGGTGGGGCAGCCGGGCCAGAAGTCAGTGTAGAAATGACAAAGCGTCAAGAATGAGGAAGAAAAGGTAGAAATGAGGTGTGGCCATTGCCAATGGCACCAAAACATTTGAACAATATTGTCCATAGATGATAAATAGAATAATAAGGAAATACATCAGGGAGTGAGGGGAGGAGAGAAATAGGTAAGGCAGATTAAGGGGTACAAGCCTCCAGTTGCAAAATAAATGAGTTATGGGTATGAAATGCACAGCGTGGGGAATATAGTCAATACTTAATATCTTTGTATGGTGACAGATGGTAACTAGACTTATCTTGGTGATCACTTTGAAATGCACATAAATTTTAAATCACTGTGTTGTGTGATGGAAAATGACATAGTGTTGTAGTTTTTGAGTTTTACTTCAAAAACAAACTCAGAAAAAAGATCAGAATTGTGGTTACCATGGGCGGGTAGTATGGGAAGGGAGAACTGGTTGAAGGTGGTCAAAAAGTACAGACTTCCCGTTACAAGATAAATAAATACTAGGGATGTAACGTACAACATGATAAATAGAATTAACACTGCTGATGTTATACATGAAGGTTGTTGAGTAAATCCTAAGAGTTCTCATCACAAGGAAAAAATGTTTTTTCTATTTCTTTAATTTTGTATCTATATGAGATGACGGATGTTCACTAAACTTATCGTGATGATCATTTCATGGTGTGAGTCAAATTATATGCTGTACACGTTAAACGTATACACTGCTGTATGTCAATTATATCTCAATAAAACTGGAAGGAAAAGCAATAATAAAAGCAAATTAGTTTTTTAAAAAGAAAAGAAAATACATCAAATCTAAAATGAAGTCACGAGAGACATTTTATTTGAAAACGAAAAACGTAGTAATCTTAACATAGAACTTTACCGGTCTGATTTATGTGATATATGACATTTTACTTTTTTTTAGATTTCACTTGTTTCTTCTCAGCAGTGATTGCTGCTGGAACATTGCATTTTTTTTTTTTTTTACAAATTCCTTTGTTGCTGAAAGATAAATATTTAAATAACTTTCCTCCAGATGACTAAATAATTGACACAGTACACCAATCCAGCAGAGATTTTAATACAGCAGAACTTCACCAGAAATACTTATTTTCTTGTTTCTGATTGTCACTGACAAACCATTGACTAGACATAGGACACTCTAATTCTAGAAATGTCATTTCCTGCCGTTGAGAGATCTGTTGCAGAAGTGCTATTAAAAGCCAGTGAAATCCTGGAGAATTTTCGATGACAGTGAGTAAAAAGCATTCCTTGAAAGCGAATTGTCTTTACAGACAACTCTGTCTCTTAATATAATTTAGATGCCCATCCAAGAAAAAGAAGCTTCAAAGAAAGAAGTCATTCTTCTGGCGAAGATGAAACATCCCAACATTGTAACCTTCTTCAGTTCATTTCAAGGTTTGACTTTCTCATTTTCTTAAAGTATTTTAATAAAGTGTGGGCATGTAGACTTCTGTATAAGATAGTTCCTGAGAAGTGTGTATAAATTAATTTTTGTAACTGGACTCATTTTCCCATTTACTTAAGTTGTCATTTGAGACATCATCTTTATTTCTTCTCTGGTGAGTTTTTGTAGGCAGCTTTCCTAAATTTTCTCAAGTTTGCCCACCTGCCTTTAATTCTCACTCCCTCAGATAGTTAACGATGGGTGTATTAGCTTTGCTGCAGTAAGAAATTTCAGTGACCTACAAGAATACCATCTGTGTCTCACTCACATTACATGTTGGCTACGGTTGGGCGGGGTCTTTACTTTTTTAATTTATTATTATTATTATTATTTTTGGCCGTGCCTCATGGCTTGTGGGATCCCGGCAGTGAAAGCGCCGGGTCCTAACCACTGCACTGCCAGGGAACACCCAGGAGGAGTCTTTAAGTCTGGGGTCCAGCCTGAAGGAGCAGAGCACATATGGAGCTGTTTTCCTGAGCCAGAGGAAAGAGCAGGACACAGAGCCCACCACACCCTCACTCTCAGATCCCTCCTAGGATGTGGCATGTTTCTTACTTTCCTTATGTGCTCACGTTCTGGGTGCAAAGCAGCCGCAACCAGCTCCGGGAACGGGGTGATGGTGGGGGAGGGTACACTCTGCCTCTGTGAGTCCTTGTATGTCCCGGGGCAACGGGGAGGGCTGTACAATTCTCCTACAGAGAGGCAGCCAAGCAAACGGCCAGAATAGAGGGGAAAAACTTTAAGGCCTCAATTCCCTTCTCTGTGTGCCTGAATACAACATTTCTTCTGCCTCTATCACTTGACTCCAAAGGTTAAAAAACAAAAAGCCCACTAAAAACACCATAAAAGGAGCGTTGGTCATTCATTCAGTTAAGTATTGATCGAGTGCTTACGCTGATGCATTTTTCTAGGTGCCAGGAATACAGCAGTGAACAAACACAACAGGCACAAATTCCTGTCCTCGTGGCTCTTACATTGTAGTGGGAAGAGACAGACAATAAACACATATACAGCATGTCAGGTGTTTAAAAGGCTGTGACAGGGCTGTCTGTGTCCCCAGTTCATCATGGGGCATTCCCATCCCAGCACCCAGCACTGGGGGTGCTTGAATTCACAGGTCAGAATTAGTTCATGGAGCAGGAATGTTGCCTAGATATCTTCAAGCACCATCGGGGGTGTAAAAATCAGTAAATAAATTTTAAAAGCTATTTTTTGAGCTTTTACACTGTGCAGGGCACTGTGTTTCTTGCAAATTAAAACCACTGCATTCAAAATAGCTCTCTGTGTTTCTTGCAAATTAAAACTGGGTACATTCCTTAAAAGAGCTCTCGGGACACCTCCAAGGTCTTTCTGGGAGCTGAGAGTACATGTGAGCCGGGAACTGAGTTGTACCGAGCAACTTTTAAGGGGCAGCCGCTGAATAAGGTGCCTTGCATTCCTGTTCATTGATTCCTAACAGCGACGCCATTAGACAGTCTTCCTTTTCCTCATTCTGTGGGTTATGGTTGTGACTCCCTGTGACTCGTAAGTCCTGCTCATCGTCAGGCCTTCTCTGAGATCCCAATTCAAGTTACAGCCCCCTGTACTGATCTCGCCAGCACTTTTGTACTGTGTGTGTATGTTCATATACGCCATTAGGAACTGTCTAATATTTGTCTCCCTTTAAGACAGTAAACATAACAAATTCTTTTGCTCACCACTTGCTCCTCAGCATGAAGCCCATAGTAGGTGCTCATACACGTTTGCTGAATGAGTGCCTACACTGGGCCATTTAGGAGAGTGGAGTATGTCTTTTTTTTTTAATTGATTAATTAGTTTTTTGGGCCACACCCCACTGCATGCAGCAGCGGGCCCCAACCTTTTTGGCACCAGGGACCAGTTTCGTGGAAGACAATTTTTCCACGGACCGAGGGTGGGGTGGGTGGATGGTTTTGGGATGATTCAAGTGCATTCCATTTATTGTGCACTTTATCTCTATTATTATTACATTGTAATATGTAATGAAATAGTTAAACAACTCACCATAATGCTGACAGGAGGCGGAGCTCAGGCAGTACTGCGAGCGATGGGGAGTGGCTGTAAATAGGGATGAAGCTTCGCTCACTCTTCCTCCACTCACCTTCTGCCGTGTGACCCGGTTCCTAACAGGCCACGGACCACTAGTGGTCCATGGCCCCAGGGTTGGGGACCCCTGGCATGCAGAATCTTAGTTCCCCGACCAGGGGTTGAACCCGTGCCCCCTGCAGTGGAAGCACAGAGTCTTAACCACCGGACCGACAGGGAAGTCCCTGGAGTATGTCTTTACACCGTGCAAAATGGATACTTGAGGATGGTTTATGCTGGATACCATTATCAAATTAGAGGTCATTTTTTACAGCAGAAATAACCTTCACTGACTTCGTTTATGTTGTAAGCTTAAACTTTCTTACGACAGCCTTTTCCTTCGCTTAACTAGAGCACGTCTGTGTTTAGGAAAACTGGAGCTGTTGTGACGGCTTTGAGTTTGCCTGGCAGTTTGTTGGGACTTGAAACACTGAGCTTATCTGAAAGCCTCAGAGGTCCTTGCAACACCTGACTCTAGAGAGTTGGGGGAAAGCCTTCGTTTACCCTAAAACAGCTCACCTCGGAACAGAAGAACCCTGGCTCTCGTTCATTATTTGTTTGTCTATAGAAAGTAGAAGTTTTCGTAAGTTTGAAGCAACATGAGAAAAATAAGAGAATGTAGTAAGATTTTCCTAAGGCTAAATTAATTCCACTTAAATTCCTTCAGTAAATTTTTATCAAGTACCTATAATTTGCTAGGCATGGTCTAGGTAAAATAGGCCCAAATCCCTGCACTGCCGTTTTCTGTTGCTGTATAACCAGTGAACACGAATTTAATGCCTTAAACAGGCACCCACTTATCCTCTCCCAGTTCCTCTAGATTGGAAGCCCGGCTGGGCTTAGGTGGATTCTCTGCACAGGGTTTCACATAGTTGAAATCAAGATGTCAGCTGTGTCTGCAACCTCATCTGAGGCCGAGTTCTCTTCCAGGCTTATTCGGGTTGTTGGCAGGTTTCATTTACTGCAACTGTAGGACTGAGGTGTCTGCTTTCTTGCTGGCTGTTAACTGGGGGTGATTCTCTGTTTCTAGAGACCAACTTCCCTTCGCTGGCATGTGGCCCCTTCAATAGGCCCTCTCCAGCTGGAACCTCTCACTTCTGTTTCTGATTTCCAGACCCAGATTTAAGTGGCTCCTGTGCTTAGGTGTATAATGTCTTTCTATTAACTCAGACTCAGCTGTTTAGTAACTTTAATTATATCAGCACATCCCCTTTGCTATGTAACATAATCATGGGAGTGATATCCCATGTTTACAGGTTACACTCTCGCTCAAGGGGAGAGAGTTCACAGTGTGTGTGCGTTCGTGCCATCTGAGAATTCTGCCTGCTCCACAACTGTGGAGTTTACATTCCAGGGGTAAAATGTGGGGAGAGACAGACAATAAATGTAAACATAATTAATAAGTACAGTATATGCAGGTTAGAAGTTGATAAGTGCTGTGGGATAATAAAATAGGGGGAGGCAGGAGTGGAGGGAAGCATTGTAAATAGGGCGGTCAGGACAGGCCTTGCTGTGAAGGTGACATTTGAGCACAGATTGAGGAGTCCTGCTAACATCTGGAGAAGAGCTTTCCAGGCAAGGAGAACAGCCACTGCAAAGGGCTGACGTGTTAAAGGACTAGCCAGGAGGCTTTGGGGAAAGGCCATCTGCTACTGGCCCTGAGCACCTCTGCATGTTTTGGCTGGATATGCCAAGAATGCCAAGGCCTGACCGAGAGCTGGCTTGTTCACTGCTCACTGTAAAAGCAGTCGATTCCTCAAGTGCAGTGTTGCTCTCCTGTAATGTAGCCACTGTGTGCACAGTTGTCCATCTAGGCTCTGTGGATTTGGGAGACAAAGAACGAGTGCTAACATGAAGCTCTGACAGCTGCTTTTGCCAAGAGTAATAAAGTCCTTTGTCTCTGGCCCAGGAATCTCGTGTCTTCTGCCAGCATCCATGACAATAGCCACAGGCTGGTAAGTAGGGCAGAATCTCACACCTGTGGCAGAAGCCACTGTGGGTGCAGTGCAGTGAGCAAGGGGGCATAGCAGAAGATATTTTTATTCTTTGTGCTGAGACCGTGTTCCTCCTGGGTTCAGCACTAAAAGGCTTTTATTTTTGTGGAATGATGGTGATACTGGATGATACCTCGTTCCATCAAATCTAGAGGCCATTGGTTGTAAGATACATTATTATGTGCTGATGAAAAGGAAAGATACTGCCCATGAGACTATGACACTATACTTTCATATCACAATTTTTATTTTATATGTATTAAAAGAGCTCTTTTAGACTTGTTTAAACAGAGTTTTGCTTTCTATTACTCTTGTACGTTCATTAAAAGGGAAATATGAGCGATTAAATCGGTTAAGATAGTCTAAAAATTAATGAGGCTGGGGGACACGTGGTTGCTTGAGGCAGAAGCCTGGTGTGTCTCCCTTTGCCTGGCAAAGCAATAAAGCTATTCTTTTCTACTTCACCCCCCGCCCCAAAAAACAAAACAAAACAAAACAAAAATTAATGAGGCCGTGATGACATCAAGACTGCTGGGCCCACAGTCACCAATTGGAAGATGCCAATGTCTGTAAGACATAATCCTGATTTTTTAAAAGGGCATTTTAGAATAAATTAATTATAATAATTGTTCTTTAAGTGTTGGAATTTGGCAAGACAAAGGTTGCAACCCTGAAGTTAGTGCCCTCTAATAGTTTTGAAAGGTCAGTGACCCATGAGCTTTATAGTTCCAGAAACTCCTGCCCTAGAGGGTGCCGTGCACTTCCTTTTTGGAGTATTCTTTTTTTCTCCTTTCTGCATTTTAAAATATTATACATGCTTAAGACTAAACACAAATCCCACCCCCAAACCTAAAGAGATCTCTCTCTGGGACTTCCCGGGGGGTCCAGTGGTTAAGGCTCTGTGCTTCCACTACATTGCAGGGGGCGCGGGTTGGATCCCTGGTCGGGGAACTAAGATCCTGCAAGCCGCGTGGCGTGGCTACCCCAACCTGACAAATGTAATTAAAACTAAATATTAAAAAAATAAAGTGATCTCTCTCACTTCTGCTCTGAGCACTTCTGAACTCTTACTGACCGTTTCACTTGTGTGGCATTTGTAATAAGCTGTGTTATAACGTTAGTGTATATTCTTTATTTCCCTCGGTGAGATTGGAAGTTCTGTGAGAACAAGGATTGTTTCTTATGCCTTTTCCCCTTCCTCAAGTGCTTAATTTTTTTAAACAGGTGGAAAATTTGAGAGCACAAATGACCTTTCCCGGCAGTTCTAACCCCATTAAATATGAAATTAACAATGGCTAGTGGGGAAAAAAAGCAGATTTAGAGCCAAATGATGCTCATCGACCTGAATAGTTCCTTCAAGATGGTTCGGCCATGATTAATCCTGCATCAGTCAGTGAATTTCTTCCACTGAAAGCCCGTGTGAGGCTGAGTGAGTTAGATGCTGGTGGAAGGGAAGGAAAATGGAGCCCTTTTCGCTTAGTTTCCTTCCTTTGATTTCCCCATGGTTTTGAAATTGCCATCCCTTCATTGCTGTGGCAGCCCTTTCAATGACTGAGCTAAGACAAGTATTAATTCTCCCAAAAGTAATACATTCCTGAAAGTAACTGATCTCTAGGTAATCAGGGTATGTCAGGAAACATCTCAAAACCCTTCCTGCAATAATATACAATGGAGAAAAGACACTCTCTTCAATAAGTGGTACTTGGGAAAACTGGACAGCTACGTGTGAAAGAATGAAATTAGAACACTCCCTAACACCATACATAAAAATAAACTCAAAATGGATTAAAGACCTAATGTAAGGCCAGACACTATAAAACTCGTAGAGGAAAACATAGGCAGAACACTGTCTGACATAAATCGCAGCAAGATCTTTTTTGATCCACTTCCTAGAGTGATGAAAATAAAACCAAAAATAAACAAAGGGGACCTAATTAAACGTGAAAGCTTTTGCACAGCAAAGGAAACCCTAAACAAAATGAAAAGACAGTCCTCAGAATGGGAGATAGTATTTGCAAACGAAGCGACCGACAAGGGATTAATCTCCAAAATATACAAACAGCTCATGTAGCTCAATATCAAAAAAACAACCCAATCAAAAAATGGGCAGAAGCTCTAAATAGACATTCCTCCAAAGAAGACATACAAATGGCCAAAAAGCACATGAAAAGATGCTCAACATCACTAATTATTAGAGAAATGCAAATCAAAACTACAATGAGGTATCACCTCACACCAGTCAGAATGGCCATCATAAAAAATTTACAAGCTAAATGCTGGAGAGGGTGTGGAGAAAAGGGAACCCTCCTACACTGTTGGTGGGAATGTGTAAATCAGTGCAGCCACTGTGGAGAACAGTATGGAAGTTCCTTACTGGTACAGCTACCATATGATCTAGCAATCCCACTCCTGGGCATATATCCAGAGAAAACCATAATTTGAAAAGATACATGCACCCCAATGTTCATTGCAGCACTGTTTACAATAGCCAGGACATGGAAGCAACCTAAATATCCATTGACAAAGGAATGGTTAAAGAAGATGTGGTACATATATACAATGGAATATTACTCAGCCATAAAAAAGAATGAAATAATGCCATTTGCAGCAACATGGATGGACCTAGAGATTATCATACTAAGTGAAATAAGTCAGACAGAGAAAGACAAATATCATATGATATCTCTCATATGTGGAATCTAAAATAATGGTATAAATTAACTTATTTACAAAACAGAAATAGAGTCACAGATGTAGAAAACAAACTTATGGTTACCGAGAGGGAAAGAGGGGGGAGAGACAAATTGGGAGATTGGGATTGACATATACACACTACTATATATAAAATAGATAACCAATAAGGACCTACTGTATAGCACAGGGAACTCTACTCAGTACTCTGTAATGGCCTATATGGGAAAAGAATCTAAAAAAGAGTGGATGTATGTATATGTATAACTGATTCACTTTGCTGTACACCTGAAACTAACATAACATTGTAAATGAACTATACTCCAGTAAAAAATTTTAAAAACCCAACAAAACAAACAAAAAACAAAAAAACAAAACCCTTCTTGGACTCTCCGGTCTTTCCTTCATGGCTTCTTGTTCTCTCTGCCTGTGTGTGTGCAGACTTCTGTTGTAACTCTTCTCCCATATGTTGACTGATGCCCCGTCTAGACTGTCACCTCCTTATTCAGGAAGGATAGCTTATTTGCTTTTTATTCCTAGCACAGCGTTCCTTAGCATGTCTTCAATAAAAGTTTGTTGATGAGTGAATGGATCTGTCCCTTTAAGAGGGGAGGTGGACCAATGGAAGTGTTCTGTGAAAGAAGCACTCAGTTTGTGAATGAGAAGCAACCAAGGGCAGATGCTGTCAGGTTACCGATAGCGCCTTTAAAGTTGGCTTAAGCCAACCTAAGTGTCCATCAGCAGATGGATGGATAAAGAAGATGCGGCATATATATACAATGGAATATTACTCAGCCATAAAAAGAAACGAAATTGAGTTATTTGTAGTGAGGTGGATGGACCTCATGTCTGTCATACAGAGTGAAGTAAGTCAGAAAGAGAAAAACAAATATTGTATGCTAACACATACATATATATGGAATCTAAAAAAAAAAAGGTTCTGAAGAACCTTGGGACAGAATAGGAATAAAGATGCAGACAGAGAGAATGGACTTGAGGACACAGGGAGGGGGAAGGGTAAGCTGGGAAGAAGTGAGAGAGTGGCATGGACATATATACACTACCAAACGTAAAATAGATAGCTAGTGGGAAGCAGCCGCATAGCACAGGGAGATGAGCTCCGTGCTTTGTGACCACCTAGAGGGGTGGAATAGGGAGGGTGGGAGGGAGATGCAAGAGGGAGGGGATATGGGGATATATGTATACGTATAGCTGATTCACTTTGTTATACAGCAGAAACTAACACACCATTGTAAAGCAATTATACTCCAATAAAGATGTTAAAAAAAATAATAAAGTTGGCTTAAGCTACTTGGAAGAAAGAGATAGCAAATGATAGATATTTGGCAAGAGATTCTGACGTTGAATGAATACTTAATAATTACAGGGCAAAATACTAGAAAGATTAACACTTGCTGATAAGCCTGCTTTTGTGCGATCATTTTGTGTTCCTTAGATGTTTTTATGAAACCACTCCACAAACCTTTATTAAGCCCCTTCCACGTGCCAGGTACAGGGAATACAAAAGTACTAAGTATGGAGTCTGTCTTCAGGGAACCCGCAAACTAGTGGGAGAGACAAACAAGTTAGTAAAGCCCTTATTCTAACAAGAACCCATCTGGTAGTTGTTTGGTTAAAGAAAAAAGCTGATTAAGCAGGAAGTCATACAAACTTATTTTAATCTATAAATACACAATCATTTGCCAAACTTCTGACGTAAGACCAAGGCCTTGTCTTTGATATGAGTCCACCGATTGGAGTTCGGAATCTTCTTTCGTACATAGGGCTCCCCCCACCCCCAATTTATAATTTCCAATTCCTTTTCTTTAGACTGGAGTAAGAATGTACAGGTACTCTCTGTGCCCAGTCTTATGAAAGCTTCCCCGTTATTTTCCACTGCTTCCACTCAACATTTAGGTCAGTGACTTTTTTTTTTTTTTTTAGCTACTCACTTTTACTGAGTCGTCCACAGGATTCAATGTAGTTTTTGTAGAAATAATCACATCTTCCTTTTCCCATTCATCTTTCATCAGTTGATGTAATAATTACAATAGCAAGTATAATTGGCATAAACAAATTAGGGAATGAACACAATGATCTTGGTAAGAATCAGTGGGAGCAGAGGTACCTGGGCATAGATGAGTCCAGAAGACACCAGGGTGACCTTGAGCGGACAGTGGTCATGAAGAGTGCCCTTCAATCTAGTGAGTAGGTCAGGCAGAGGTCAGTTAGAAGCGTGTCTACTGTACTCAACAACATGGTTGAATAAGCCCCATATAAATAATAGTTTATGCCCAAATTCAAGGGTGTATTAATTCTTCCTGAGGTGTTGAAAAAGATTCACAGATGCTTTTTTATAGCAGATTTCCAGTCTCCTGCAGGAATGTATTAAAAATAATTGCTCTCATTTATTGAACTCTCATTATGTGCAGGTATTGTTCTACGTATGTGACATGGATTAAAAACCATTGAAAAGATTAAATGAGGAAAGATAAAACAATCCCAAGAGGAGTTTCTATATTATTATCTCCATCTTACAGATGAAATAACGAGGCACAGAGAAATTAAAATAACTTGCCCAGAGTCACAGAGCTAAGAAATTTAAGTGGTGAAGTGGGATTAGAGCCCAGTCCATCTCGATTCTACAGCCAGAGTTTTAAACTATTATGCACTGCATTTTTCTGCTATATTCTCCACCTTCTAGAACTTAAAGGCAAATAATTAGTAAATATTTGAAACCCATCCAGCACTGAATGATGCCTTTTCTTATAGAGAACAACAGGCTGTTTATTGTGATGGAGTACTGTGATGGAGGGGATCTCATGAAAAGGATCAAAAAACAACGGGGAGTGTTACTTAGTGAAGATCAGGTAAAAACTCTTCTAATTTGCCTTTTAATTTATATTGGGGGATTAAATTGATAGTCATAAGTAATAGACTGTTTATATGAAGCATGCTTTGTGGAAGAGAAATACAAACTATAAAATAATGGATCAGTATTCTTGATAGGTCTAGCCTAGAACGTGTTTGCAATTGAACTTAAATTGCATCTCTTTTTGAGAGTGAACTTTGCTTCAGAAAGAACCGTGTCTGATTTTTGGACAATCTCATGTAGGATGCCTCTGAGATGAATCTTCATGGCGGAAAAAAAAAGTGAATGTGGATGTTCCTCAGCCATTTAAAATGTGATGTATTTATAGCTTCACTTTTCTTCCTTTTATCGTTGGGTACTCTGTTTTAAAATAGCTATCCCACTTTGCTAGGGAGGATGGAAGCTCTTCTTAGCAATGGCTATGTAGCTTCATTCGCTATTAAGAGAGAAGAGAGAAAAGGTGAAGAATAATGGCCTCGGGTCTCATTCTCTCTTTGCACAAACACATTTTTCTTCTATTCTCTGACCTCCCTTTGATACCCTCTTGGGAGTTGTACTCGTGAAGGAGACAGGTGTGTGGGGTGGGGACTGAAGACTCGTGAAGGAGACAGGTGTGTGGGGTGGGGACTGAAGAATTGGACTCAGGGCCTGTGTGATTGATGGGAAAGGCCACGGCCTCAGGCAGAGCACAAGAATGGCCTGCCATCTTTATTTAGGGCATTTGTTTCTTCGTTCTCTTTTAGCATTTAAGAGCATCAGGCCCAAATAATTTCCTCCTAGAGTTAAATTGAATGTGGTGGGTTTCCCCAGTGGCGCAGTGCTTAAGAATCCACCTGCCAGTGCAGGGGACATGGGTTCCAGCCTTGGTCCGGGAAGACCCCACATGCCGCGGAACAACTAAGCCCGTGCACCACAACTACTGAGCCTGCGCTCTAGAGCTCGCGAGCCCCGATTACTGAGCCCGCGTGCCACAACTACTGAAGCCTGTGCACCTAGAGCCCGTGCTCCACAACAAGAGAAGCCACTGAAAGAGAAGCCCACGCATCACAACGAAGAGTAGCCCCCGCTCACCAAAACTAGAAAAAGCCCGTATGCAGCAACAAAGACCCAACGCAGTCAAAAAAAAAAAAAAAAAAATTGAATGTTGTGAATGTATGAATGATTAAAGAATCAGTATCTCTAACCTCTGTAAATTTAATCAAGCATTCTCCCTATGCTCATTTACATTATATATTAAATTCTGTATTTGTAGAAACCCTCCTTTCTTCCTATCTAGGTATTTTTTTGCCGCATTTAATAAAAATACTTTTCTCTACACAATTTCAAACTACATTTCCCATTTGGGGGAAAGAACTAAAATTACAACTGAATCTTAGTATCTGGAATGTAGCTTTTTTTCTATTGTTTTCCTCTCTGTGTATAATTTGGTGGACAAAGAATCATTGAAATTATAGAGTCATTTAAATAAATCTCTATAGGTATAGACATAGTTTAATAAAGAGGCTCATGGCCAGCTAAGAAAATCATATCTAAGAAATAAAATTAAACTTTAAAAAGTTTAAAAGTAAAATATTTCTTAGTTTTATATTATATACTTGTATGTTGATATTTCATTAAAAATTTTAATAACCTCACAGATTCTCCACTTCTTCCTCTTTCTCTCTTTGCCCTTGACACCTTCCTTCCACTGAAAAGGAAAAAGCAGTGGCACTAGGGTTATCAGGAAACAGAGCTGCTTGTCTACTCTCCTGATGCAGTTAGCAACCCAATGTTAAGAAAAAAGAAGATCATGACTTGCCTCCCTCTCTTTCTTGGTTCTGTTTATCTTTCTCTGAGTGCGGTGTTCCTTTTCATACCAACACATTTGGATTGCCTTTTCACACCTCCATGTTTCTAACTGTAAAAAGAAAATAGTACGATAAGATGGTATACCTATTAGCTTCATTCATATAACCACACACACAAGTATATTATTCCTCTCTTCTTGTATGTTATCATGAAGACATTTCAGTGATCACCAGACTCCTCACCAGTTTTGTTTCATGTTCCCTCTACAGATTCTGAGTTGGTTTGTACAGATTTCTCTAGGACTGAAACATATTCATGACAGGAAGATCTTACACAGGGACATAAAAACACAGGTAACAGCTCAGAGACAAAATCAAGACAGATCTTTTGTTTTCTTGAAACATCTCCAGCAACATAGCATTTTCTCCACTTACAGAACATTTTCCTTAGCAAGAATGGAATGGTTGCAAAGCTTGGGGACTTTGGTATTGCAAGAGTCCTGAACAAGTAAGTACTTTTCAAAAACATTTTCTTTCTGATCGTAACAGCCAAAATATGTATTTTTAGTTATCATGAATTAAGATATTAAGAGCTTGGTTTCCCAATAATTTTTGATAACTGTTTATATAAGTGTATTAAATCATTCAGATGCTACTTTGTCTGAGATTAAAATTTGCAGGTAGATAGGAGAAGGATGGTGGCGACGTATAGTGTGATACAAGCTGATCAAATGAGATGTGACTGAAAAGCGTATAAAGCTAGTGAGCGTTTCGTGAAACAGGCAAATTCACACGTGCTGGGGGGATGTATTGATGCAGCTGTTTTGGAAGACAGCTTGGTGGTCATAAATATCAAGAGATTTTTAAATGTTCCATTTCTGAGAATTTATTCGAAGGGGATACTTTGAAATCTGGAATAACTTAGATGCCTAATAATTGGGAAATGGTCACATTTCATAAAACTTAGCACAGCATGTACCTGAATATTATAAAGCCACTAACATTTACGATTTGGAAGACTTCTTGATAACGTGAGGACAAACTTTGTTATATTAAGTAATAAAAAAGAAAAAAGGGAATTCTGAATTTTAAATATGCTATGATCACAGCTATGAGGAAAATATGCATGGAAAAAAGACAAGAAGGAAATATGTCAGAATTTTAACCTAGTTGTTTGGGGGTTTTAAGAGTCTGGGTAAATTTTTTCTTCTTTATTTACTTTTATGTTTTCCAAATTTTAAATCATGAGATTGCATTACTTTAGTCACTGGAAAGAGGGAAGTTTTACATGTGAGGGTTTTGCAATGTAACAATGGTACCTCTTCGTGCAATCTTTAAGCCATAAAATTTTTTCTAATGTGTAGATTTTGGGGAGGTGAATTATAAGCTTAAAAATCAATGAATTTTATTACTATATTATTAATATACAGTGTTTTGCTTTATTTTAGTATGTGATACATCAAATTTTGTGTCCACTTTTATACTTTTTTCTTGCATGTATGTGTATGTCTTAAGCCCTTTCTTCAGTAATACACTGTGTTATTTTATTATTTAATATAATTTTGCTAGTACCATGGAACTTGCTAGAACTTGTGTTGGAACGCCTTACTACTTGTCCCCAGAGATCTGTCAGAATAAACCCTACAACAATAAAACGTGAGTTGCTGACGTTTGGTTCAAAAGTCGCAGTAGAATCTGGTGCATTCTTTCTTATGGTGCTTTTGTAATTTCATTTTCTCCACCTGTGAAGTGAGGCTCCCAGTGACTGTCTCTGACCACTTCAGTGTTCTCTGAAGGTTTTGAACTTATTTAGAAAAGACACATTTCTTTTGAAGATGCCAGTGATAGAAAGAATAACATTGAAAATCGCAGTCACTGTGATGTCCATCTGTGTATTTGATTCTCATGCTTTCTAAGCCCTGTTTAGCCTGTTGCAGGAAAGTGCTGTAAATGGGTCAGAAGACGGTGAGGCTGGTGACTGAGTACTGGTTTAGCAGCCAGGAATCCTAATATTGACTCAGTCGGCAATTGCACCAAGTCAGTCCATCTCTGTGGGCCTCAGTTCCCCTACCTGCAACAAAGAGAGCTGGTAATAGTTAAGGCATAGGTAGACAGGTAATTGTTAAGGCATCTTCCAGCTTTAAAATTCAGCTGGCTTTTATGTATGTGGTACCAGAGCGTACTGTCAGGAATAATAATATTAATAGACACAGTGATAAAAGATGAAGATGAGGTAGTTTTTACTTCCATGGAAGGAGAAGGAAAAATTTTCACTTTTCAAAGCTGTCTGCCAGCTGAACCAGTTGGCCTTGCAGGAAGACTGAGTTTCTTTGTGGAGTTAATGTCTGTTTGTTTAGGAAAATACCCAAGGGATATTTGGCTGTTTTACTTTGAAAGAGAGGGCAAAGCCCTAAAAAAGAGTGGTAAACATTTCTCCACAGTGAAAGAGCAGGCATTTCTTGGAGACAGCCTCTGACTTAGAGAAGGGGTTTGGCCTCAAGCTGAGCAGGAATGCAGCTTGTGTAGCCGGGGTAGAAGGGCAGGCTGTCCAGAGCAGAGCACAGTGCTACACAGAAAGACCCCTAGCTCCGCAGCATTGCTTTGTTTCCTTGCACTGCATTTTTAAGGATTTGAGTCAACATTTAAATATGCTGGCCTGATGCTTTCAATAATTGGAAGATCCTAGCAGTAATTGTTATGAAACCAGATTCATTTGCCTGATGAACAGACAGGCCAAATGCTGAGGCACCGAGGTTTGCAGCAGAGAAAGGGTTTATTCACAAGGCAGCCCAATGAGGAGACTGGAGTACAAGTCTTAGATCTGCCTCCCTGAAGGTGAGGGGCTTGAGATATTTACGTGTGGTCTTCGGCCTGGGGAAGGAGGATTGGAGGTAGGGAAGAGGTGAGGTAACTGGTGTTCTGGATACACATATCTGAGTTACCTCCTTCATAGGATGCATGTTCAAAAATGGAGGTGTTTAGCATGATCAGAGGGTGGTGTTTTGGGCCCTCTGAGGTCAAAAGGTCATTCATTGGACACCTGCACAGGCCTAGTTTTAGCACATTGTTTTCAAGTTCATTGAGTACCAGGTACTCTGGTCATCACTTAGTCTAACTTTGGTTTTGTCAATAGCCTTGAATAGAATATTCCTTTCTAAATCAACCAGATGTCACCCTTTGAATCAAACAAATCCATGTTTGAGTTCTGCCTTCCTCCTCCAAATTGCTCAAGATTCCACACATGGACACATTTTCTTCGAGCTCATCACATGAAGTAAATATTGAGCCATCAGATTCTAGCAAAGCCTGTATACCTTTTCTTTGCTAGGATTCTGACAAACTACAAATTTTCCCTCTCGTCTCATTAAGAATTGATAATGTACTGAAAGTATTTGTGAAAACTTGTCAACCTATGTAAAACTGTAAAGATGCACCAATATAATGTACTGTAAGGATAGAGGTTTTCATTGAGAACTACTGATATTTCTTAGCCTGTCAACTCTTATCTTACCCAGGGATATTTGGTCTCTTGGCTGCGTCTTATATGAGCTCTGCACACTCAGACATCCTGTAAGTATATTAATCGTCAGATTAATCTTGAACTACATAAATGAAATTAACCTCTTGAGAGGAAAAGGTTAATGTTTGGTTTTATTAGATTGTTAAAAATTATATGAACAAGCTATTAACAAGAATGACAGCTCCATATATACTGACATGGAAAGATATCCAAGCTATATTATAAAGTACACAATCCAAGTTGGAGCATAGTACCTGTGGCATATTTCCATAAAAATAAATTATGTGTGAACGTATCAATACATAATCAGCAAAGGGAAAAGGTGCGTGGGGCGAAGATTGTCGGAAACCAGGCACAAGCTTCCAAGAGCCTTTCCCAGTAGAGTCACACAGGAGGCACTGATTTCTCCAGCAACAAGTTGTGACAGTACATGTGAAATGTAATGTACCAGGGAAGCTCATTCGAGACCCAGTGTCCAGGGTTTTTGTTGGGACTGGTCATGTAGGCACCTCTGCCTAGCAAGTGCCAAGCTTCTAGATTCCCAGGAAGAGAGCAGGTATTCAGCATAAACCATGTTGTTTGCACAATGTGGGGAAAAAGAGAGCCACTCGGAACATTTTGGGAATGGTGAGAACTCTCCTGAAATCCAAGTTCCCAGATGCCAGCCAAGGGCCCATGTAAGCAGGCCTTTCTAAGGATAGCAGTCTTAGACCATCTATGTTACCTCTTTTGTACACAGCTGTCGTTTTGTTGTTATTGTCATTATTTTCAAATAGTAAGTGTCAGATAGTAAGTGTCTAAGCCAAACCCGATCTTTTCTGCCACGCCATTCTGCCCAGCATTATCGTTATGTGTAAATAATGATGATTTCATACAATGGAATGTTTTCTGGTTTATGAAGAATTTTTGAGGAAATGGTTTATGTTATATTAATTTAAAAAGCAAGATATAAAATTTCATATTGTTATGATCTCAACTTTGTAAAATAAACATTATTTTTAAAAAGACTAGAAGGAAATATACCTCTGGGTGGTGAAATTGTATGTATTTTGCCTGTTTATAATTTCCTATACTTTCCAGTTTTTTAGAATGAGTAAATATTTTGATACTAAGAAAAAACCTAAAAAAACCCTTTTTTAAGTAGGATGACATTTCATTGAATAACCGCCTACAGTATCTACTCATGAAAGATTAGTTGATGGAAACAGTTCAGGGTAGACCATAGTGCTTCTAATTAAAGCTATATAACATTGTTTTGTTTCTTGATATTACTTTAAATACTAGCATTGAATTTTTCTCTGATTTAGTATCACCATTCCTTGTCTTTTCAGTTTGAGGGTAACAACTTACACCAGCTGGTTCTGAAGATTTGTCAAGCTCGTGTTCCCCCAATATCTCCAAGGTTTTCCCATGACCTACAGTCCTTAATATCCCAGCTCTTTGAAGTATCTCCCCGAGCTCGACCATCCATTAGTTCCATTTTGAAAAGGCCCTTTTTAGAGAATCTTATGGCCAAATACTTGACTCCCGAGGTGAGTTTTGAGGCGATTCTGTTTGGATTTTGACAGAGATTTTTACTAGCAGGTCCTGACACACTGTTTGATTTTAGGTCATTCAGGAAGAATTCAATCACACCCTCAGACATAAAGCAAGATCGTCTGCTTCTCGACATGCTGAGAAGGTGGTCCCAGGTAAGAATGATTTAACCATGCAATCAAAAAACATTGATTGTGTCTCACGCAATGATTTATAATATATGGCTGATAACTTTAGCAGAGAAATTCCTCCAAATATGTTGAACATGGACATTTAAAAAATATGGGCAGTATAAGCAGAAGAAAAATTATCTTGTCAAGTGGTGACCTGGGGGCGTGCCTGTGTATCTAGTTTATGCATGACCTGGAGGATTCATCTCCTCTCTTCTCATCAGTCCGGAAAACTTGATGAAGCAGTGGATTTGCTGATAAAGAGATGCTCAAAGAGGTAGAATCTAAACTTAACTTTTGTGTAGGGAAGGGATAGAGAGTCAAAGAAGGTTCACAGACAGACATGGAATCATGAAATGAAGCTTATTTTTCTGAAATAGAATGGACTGGCGATTAAGAGTTCTCCTGCAGAGGCCTGTTGGAGCTGAAGTTAGGATCTCGGACCTAACTGGTAACAGTGGGAGAAGGTTATTATGTGACCCCCAAAGAAGGCAGCTGATACTTTATGGTAATGATAAATGGAGCAGCAGTTGTAGTGGTGGAGTTAGGAATCAGCTGATGAAGTACTGTGTGTGTGTGTGAAAGAGAGACAGACAAACATTAAAGAGAAAAATTACTAATTCAACTGATAATAGAAATAAGAGCATCAGGCTTTTTGGCCATAACCAAATGTCTCAACTTTAAGGATGAGAAGTAGAAAGTCTCTCCAAGGAATAGATAATGGAGGAATATTATCCACTGTGATGGAGAAACTAAAAGTGAGAAAAGTTATAAAGGGAAAGTGAATTAATGATTCTGCCATGTTTAATTTCGTTTGCCATCGTTATATATTAGTCTAGATTGAGCATATTTAGAAAGTAGATAAGTAGAGGACAAGAGAAAGTGTATTGTCTACATTTCTAATATAGGACAGATAGGAAAACAAGAACACATTTTTTTTTTTCTATTTATTTTTGGCTGCGTTGGATCTTCGTTGCTGTGCGCAGGCTTTCTCTAGTTGCGGCGAGCTGGGACTACTCCGCGTTGTGGTGCACAGGCTTCTAACTGTAGTGGCTTCTCTTGTTGCGGAGCACGGGTTCTAGGCGCGCGGGCTTCAGTAGTTGTGGCTCGCGGGCTCTAGAGCAGAGGCTCAGTAGTTGTGGCGCACGGGCTTAGTTGCTCTGTGGAATGTGGGATCTTCCGGGACCAGGGATCAAACCTGCTTCCCCTGCACTGGCAGGCGGATTCTTAACCACTGCGCCACCAGGGAAGTCCCAAGAACACATTTTGAAGGTGACAAACACAAACATATTCGAAGACCTACTCGTCCATTTCAAACAACAATGCAACATGAATGCTGTGGCCTGATAACCCAAGCTCTGATGACTACATTTAATTACTTGTAATTAAATTAATTTAGTTAATAACTTAATAACTAAATATGCCATTATGTTATGCATATTGTTTCCATAAATGTTAATTCCCCAATTTTTAAAAAGTAGTGTTATATATTGCTGGAAATATGTAAAGGAACACTGGAAAAAATGGTTTCCTCCATTCAAAGAAAATGTGTAGTAATTTTCCATCAGCACTTCTCTCCATGGGTGTAAATGTCTCTGGTTAAAGAGAGCTTACTGTGTTATGAAATGCCCCTTATACTCTCACAAGCATAATATTAATGATGTGGAAATTTTTTAAAAATTAAGTTGTTTTATTTTGGTTAAATAAGATTTTAAAATGCAGAAAGTGAGATTCCAGGGAAAGTGCCTGCCAAGATCAAGGAGGAAGGACATATATAGAAATGAATGGAGACCGCCAGCTGGAGTCCAGAAGCCCATATCTGTAAGTCATGCTAAACCCTTCCTCTGTTTTTTTTAGTGGATGGCATATTCTACAGAACTACTTGCACATGTTCATGAGGTACAAGGTCATTACTTTGGGGTTCACTAGTTTTGTGCTTGTAATAAAATTCTGTAATGAACATTAAAGTGGTACTTCATGGGACAGCTTCAAGTTGTTATTTTTAACAATGCTGTATTTCCTTATAAGTATTCCATACATTAGTTTTGGTTTTCTTTTTATAATTCAAATTCTTTTAATTTCTTTAAGTAAATAAGGTTTTTCTATGTAGGACAAGTGAGTAGCATAGTGGCGGAAAACATGCATTTCATACTCCTAATTCTGATGTTATATATAATTGAGAAATTTTTATTATATAATCATTGATTTTTTTTCCCCAGAGTTTCTTCATGCCAGTTATTTGAATCCACTTCAGCAGAATGTTGAATCTTTTAGTTTATGCTAGTGAAATGCTTCTGGTACATAAAAATGGCTATTGTATTTTAAAAGAAGGCTTATGGTAAAAAAAAAAAAAAAAAGAAGGCGGCTCATGGTTTAAAGTATGTTGTGATTTAGAATACTCTGTAGCAAACCCTGTAGGAGACAAAAAAAAAAAACCAAAAACAAACATCTAAAAGACTCATGGATGGATGGAGTTAGGCGAACCCATTGACATTTTCTTAATCCTTTGAAAGTTTCTCCTAATGCAGTGAAATGAACGGGCCTGCACAGGAGCCACCTCTGATGTTCTCATTACCATTTGGGACTTTAGAGAAAATCCTAAAGAAGCTGTTTTTTCCTTCTAATACTTTTCTCTATCTCTAGCCATTTTTCAAGTAATTAGTAGTAACTTCTTTGTGTTGTACCTAGGCAAACATTGTAAAACTAAGAAAACGACTTCACACTTTAAAAGATTTTTAAAATAAATATACAATCTATGTTTAGACTGATAAGGAAAATTATATACATTTACTTTAATATTTGAATAGAATAAATAAATGTGCCATTTTTGTAAGTTAAAGATGGTTACATATCTACAGTTCCATATGGTTCATATGTATATATATATGAGCCATACAGCATGAAGAAGAACAAAGAATGTAATGTGTTACTTCTTTACAGTGAGTAAATTTCAGTTTTAACCACTTGTTTGGTTATTCGTATTTCCAGTTATAAGTTCCAGACCTTTCCAAAGGTTTGATCTTCGTTTTTTCTTTTGTTAGCAACTGTTAAGTGGACAGCATGGTCACCATAAATTGACCCTATTTTGCTATTTAGCAACAGGGTCTAGACTGGTTTTCATATGTTAATCTGGTCTGATTCTTGTCTTCCAGCTCAGTGGCCTCTACTAAGGAATGCTAAGATAAACATTTGTTTCTGGTTCTCCTCTCATTCTGTTCTGGTTGGGAAGGGTGGTGAGGCATAGCTTGAGATGGTCATAAACTGGTCACAGCTGTTACATGACTTTCCTTGTGTTTACATGGGAAGAATTGACTCTGAGTGATTCAGCGTCTTCTTTCCTTCCAGTCATGTTGCCATTTTGTATTTAGTAAATTTATCAGAACCTAAACGTTTTGCAAATCCCCAAATCTGTGTGTTGCACAATACAGTATTCTCCCATAAAGTCTAGTAAGGTGTAAATAAATTTATGAAAAATAAGAAATAATAATGCTGAGTTTAGTTTCAGATCTTGGGTTGGATAGACACTCACTCGCTAGGTATTTCTGATACACTAGCCATGAAGTATACATGATTCATATTCACACCTTAGCAAAATTATAAACTACTGCACTACAGTACTTAGACTTCTAAAACATTTTTCAGTTCTAGGATTTGGGGACTCTAAGATTACTCAAAAACAAGTCTAAAGCAAAAACAAGATAGCTCCAATGCCTTGTCATAGCTATGGTCACTATCAAACTGTCAGTTGTTATAGACTTTAATCATGTATTTAAAAAATATCTCTCTTCTTTTTAATCCCTCAGATAAAAATGGTAGAAAGGCCCAAACTTGCTGCAGTGTGTGGACATTATGATCATTATTATGATCAACTTGACTTGTTGAGGAAGAGAGCCAATGGACAAAATTACCACTATGTTCCTCAAAAAGATACCAGAGTTGAGGAGAATTATAATCAGGAAGGAAGCCACAGTCCATCTTCAGGTCAATGGTAATGTCATAGTCTACTTAAACTTGGGTCCTCTGAAAATAGTTTGCTATATCAACATTTATTCTGAAGTCATTCCAGATTCTCCTAAAACATCTGGAAAGAACTTCCAGACGCTTCATTTAAAATACTTAATTCACAGTTCCCTTGACCCTTTTTCATCTTAACTTTGATGTAGCTAATCTTATTCATGTAGCCATTTGACTGTGGGAACAGATTAATGCTCTTGAATTTTTAATGTCTTTTCTTTTTCCTAGTAAATTCCACTATCCGGGAGTGATGAAAATAGTTGTATATGTATCATTTTCCAAATATTAATATTATTAATATTAATAATAATTGAATTGTAATCAAATTATAATTTGACACCTACTGAAAAGTGAAATATATTTCATTTAGCATTTATATTCTTGGGATTTTTCAGAATATGGATGTATTAGAAAGAAAATAATATAATTATGGTGTACTTTCAAAAAGTTTACTCCATAACAAATTTCTACAGATCTACAATACTTGTTATGGTTTCTTTCACACTGATGTCAGTGTTCTATGATCAGAATGATTGACACCCATCCACAGCCCTGAAGACCTAAGTCTGAGGGGCATGTTTCAAAAATGCTTTTGCCATCACACTTTTTCTTTCAGTGTTGGGAATTTGCTAACTTTTGGTGTCTGTGGTTATTTATTGTTGAAAGTTTGGACAAACAATGAAACATATGAGTCTATATGATGGTGATCTCATCAGATAGCTAATGAACATTAGATAAACAAGAATAATAAAAGAATGATTTCTCCAGAAATGCGTGGTGGGAAAAGTAGACATTTTATTTTTAAAGATATTGGGTGCGGTTATGGTTTTTTTCCATCTTCATAACATATTTTTAATGACCTCCATGATCATCAAAAGTTATGTGTTCCATTAGTTCAAATTATAATATTCATATAGGACTCAACTAATGAGTGACATATTTTACATAAGAACTAGGTACAGGCACAAAGCTCCCTTTCCCTTTTCTCAGCCACTGGGAAACTGTGGCTTCCACCCTTTGTCTAGATATGAGAGCTGTCAAACTATCAAATTATTTTGATTATGTGTGATTGTATCTCCCAAACTCTCACATAAAATGGTAGAAAGGTCCTTCTCTTCCCTGTATGCTGCTGCCCATCATCTTACGGTGTTCCAGGATGCCCCTCTGATGACTGGTAACCCCTCCTCACTGTTATTCCAAGCCTCCTGCCCAGCTTTCTCTCTATCAGAGCTCCAATTCCATGGGAATCAAGTCTTGATGTACTCGTCTGGAGGAAGAAGAACCTATAGAGGGTTGGGGAGAGAAAGAAAGACAGAGAGAGAGAGAGAGAGAGAGAGAGAGAGAGAAATAATGTCTCTTGAACAGCCCCTGGATGACTGAATAGTTTTTCTCATGGAGATAAGTTTCTGAGAGGAATGCTACATGTTAGCCCTCACCTGAGTCAAGCACAATCAATGTGTCAGACGCTAGTCAGGAACCTTCACAGAACTTGTCTCTTCTAATCCTCACATCACCCCCTGTGAGATTGGTATTGTGCCCATTTTACAGATGGGGAACTAAGGCCCAAAGACCATAACTAGCTTATGATTTCATCATATTTCTGAACAACTGATTTATTAACTTGACTCTTCAGAAACTGGGGACCACTCATCCTGATGTGCCTAAAGGAGTTTCTGAAATGGCAGTTCTATCTTTGGAGCCCAGGAAGTTGCTAGAATTCCAACGAACTTTATCACTAACTCATACTATGATCTGAAATGTGGTAGTTTTTGTTTAGCAATCTGTAATTATAGAAATTCTTGTAGGAAATTCTGAAAAAAAGGTAAATATCTAGAACATAGGTACAAACCTGAAAATGGTTTGACTAGAATTGACCAGGATTGTGCTGGAAAAACACTTAAACATTTTGAGAGATGGAGAAAGCCTCATTTCTTTATTCATTAAGCATTTGTGAGCCAGCGTGAGGAGCAGAGGTGAAGGGAGGGGCCCCCGACCTGCTCTAAGGAGCTCAGAGTATCGTGCAGGCAACAGACGAGCAGCTATCAGTGCAGTCAGGGTGACAAGGCTATAGATTAGACACCTGCACACAGCATGAGAAGACCCTGCTACGGGTTTCTTCTCTTTCCCTCCGACATATCATAGACTACGGGTGGACTGATTCCTGCCCTGAAGAAAAATCATTGTAACAGAATATTTTTCGGTTCTATCCTGTCCTGTATCCCCAGTTTTACTGTTCTCTTTACCTCCCTTTCTTCTTGATTTCAAAGCTGTCTTCTTTTCCAGTGTACACATTCTGTAACTTCGAATTACGTCTCGAACTCGGAACATCACAGGTGAATTGTGATCTCATTACAAAGCTGAAAATTCGCTTGTCGAATTGGTGCCTGTGATGAATTAAAATTTCTACTCAGGCTGAACGTTTGTATTTCCTAAGGCTTGCTGAGTACCTTCAGAGGAGATGTGAAGCTCAACGACATAAGCTGAAAGTGGAAAAGCAATTGGTAAGTAAAATGCCAAATATAAGAGGCCATCAGGAATTTTCTAATGCTTTCTCTGTTCACAAATATTCATGGATCCTGAAGTCAAAGTTCATTCCACATAGATGATTAAGACTATTCTCCACTTTCCCCGGTTTTTAATAGCTAAAGAAGAATAATGGGAATAGGCTTCAGTTAGGGTCTGGGAAGCCTAGTCCCTTCCCTGGCTCCATCACTTGCTGTGTGACCTTAGGCAGGACATGCCACCTCTCTGAACCTCAATTTCCTTTTCTATAAAAGCTGTAGATGGGCTTCAAGGGCCCTTTCAGTGCTGCAATTCTTCGATTCTATTTTATTAGAATTCTACACATTTTCAAAGAGGGATTACTGTATTTTATTTGAAATGAAAGTTAACCTTTACTCTTAAGTATAGTGTCAAAATTCTGGGGCTGAGCGAGCTTGGTTACACCTCCTATTTGTATTGCTCTTATTTTGAACAGCTCAAAAGTTCTAATTCTCTTCCCCTACCTAATCTCATGCCCCAGGGGTTGCTAAACTTTTACAGAACTTGGATTTCCCAATTATAATTTAGCAGTTCAGAAAATGAATCTTGGTGTCTCACATGGTAGCGTAAAATATTGATTTGCTTAGACTAAACAACAGAAATTGTTTTATTTTCTTTACTTTTTAAATGTTTCACACTTAAACTAAGAAAATTCTACTGCTCAGTATAAAAACAAAACAAAACTCCCAAATACTGAGATTGATGATATAATTATTGTTTAAAGGATGGGGGTCAAGGTCAAATCATAAGATGTTTCCAAAATGCAAGTACACTTTCTAAATTATTTCATTCTAATAATAGGGTATTCGTCCATCTTCTGCTGAGCCAAATCACAACCAGAGACAAAAGCTAAGAAGTAATGGGGAAGAGCCTGGATTCCAGGAGCTGCAGTTCAGGAGAAATGAAAGGAAGGAGCAGGTTTAAAACTGTCTGCTTCCAGGGCTACCGTTGTACTTCTCTCATTGTCTTTTGTGCTGTAATGGGATGTTGCTTTTAGCATCTACGGTGCACCTGAGAGAGCCCGTTACACAAACACTTGTTGGACACAGTGGTGTGACGCGCCATGCTGGGGTTCAGGGGAGAGAGAGATATGTATTTCACCTTCTCAGAGAATGCAGTGTCGATGAGTTCATAAGGCTTTTTACCTCAGATTGATAAAGTAACTGTCCATCCTGAACATTTTTGAAATTTGTATTAGTTCCCTAGGGCTGCCTTACAACAAACCGGGCAGTTTAAAATAACAGAAATTTATTGTCGCACAGTTCTGGAGGCTTGAAGTCCAAAGGGAAGGTGTCAGCAGGGCCACACTCCCTCTGAAACCTGGAGCGGAATCCTTCTTTGCCTTTTGTTAGCTTCCGGTGGTTGGTCCATGATGTTCAGATGCGCTGGTTTGCAGAGCCACAACTCCAGTCTCTGCCACCGGACATGGCATCCTCCTGGTGTGGCCGTCTTCTTAACAGGACACCTGCCATATGCATTAGGGACCCACTCTGCCCCAGTGTGACCACATCTTAGCTTAACTACTCACATCTGCAATGACACAGTCTCCAAATAAGATCACATTCTGAGGTCCTGGGGCTTAAGACTCCAACGTATCTTTTGAGTGGGGGGACAAAATTCAACCTATAACAGGATTATATATAAAGTAATTGTATGTCAGTAATGCATTTGGGGTTATATATAAAAATGAGATTATCCCAAGAGGCCGTATCCTCACTGGGGAGAAATACCACAGCCAAAGTGTAAGGCAGATTATCATTTTCGGGGGCAACGGCTCTTCCCTTACTATATATCACACATTTCTAAATTCATAGGCTGTCCTGGGGACTTCCCTGGCAGTCCAGTGGTTAAGACTGTGCGCTTCCACTGCATGGGAACTACGATCCCGCATGCTGCGAGGTGCGGCCAAAAACAAAAAAATAAAATAAAAATAAAATCATAGGCTGTCTAGAGATTATTCTGTCAGGTTGTTCACAAACATTTAACATTTCGGGATTGGGATTGCTTTCCAGGAATACTGGAAGCAGCTAGAAGAAATACGCCAACAGTACCACAACGACATGAAAGAAATTAGAAAGAAGATGGAGTGTGAACTGGAGGTAAATAAATTCATTCTTCTAAAGGAAGCGTTGCTCTATTGATTCAGAGCTAGCTCAACTGAGCAGGTATTAAAAGTAATGCTCTTCTCATCGAAAAGATAAACTTTATCATGCGAACTTTAAGTAGGAAAGCTGTCAGATTTAATGGAAGCCTCACTCTATTATGGTTTACTTGAGGCTGCACGAAGTGCTGGGGCTGCCAGTCTCAGTTAAGAGCGGCTGTTATTCAAAGTATGGTTGATCATCTTCCCCATGAATCAGTCAATAAGTATTGACTGAGCAGTACTTTACTCGGGAACTGGATTAGATGCAGGAGGTAAAGTTCATGCCCGTTGGGTAGGAAGAGAGACGAGCATTTACTGAATTCAGCTACACTGGAATAGTCTCACATGCAGGGGTAAGATTTGAAAGGCCATATAAGGCAACATGTGAGTGCAGTGGAGATGATTTTTGAAAAATCCCTTGAAGGTGCCACCCTGGAAACTCGTTCTTCCAATTCTCAGATCATTGCTTTTTCAGTAGAGCTCCAGATGAGATAGCTGGCCTGTGTCTGGAGACCACAATGCGTGAAAAACACCCCCATGTTTAATTAGAAACACCCTCAGCGCCCGGGAATGTTCCTCCTATGACGGGCTGGTGGGCACCAAGAGCAGCCGGGGACACAGCCGGCCTCTCGTCTCACACGCACTTGAACTACGCACTCATTGTGCAGAACCTGCCCACACTACTGAAATTGATCTTTCCCTCTCACCCTGCCCCACCCCTGAGGGCATACAGACGAACTAATATAGGTGCATTATGGTACCATTCAATTGTATGCACTGAGCTCTGAACTAGAGCTTTCACATACGTATCTCCTTTACTTATAGCAGAAGTTAAATAACTCACCCAAAGTCACTTAGCTATTACAAGGCAGACTAAATAAATATCTGATTCTAAAACCTCTACTCTTTCTAAATAGTTAAATAAATAGTTGGAAAGATATGAAGCAATGATCCAATAAGGCTGAATCTGGTTAAGCCTCGTGAGTGCAGGGGAGTGAAGATGAGTGGTACAAGCAGGTGGAGGATTTTTCTGGAAGAAGAGAGATGGGGCCAAAACTGGGTCTGAGAAGAAGAGTAGAATTTGGAGAGGCAGAGCTAAGGAAGAGGGCATCTGAAGGAGCCACGCAAAGCTTCATGGCAAATGCCGTGGGCGGGGGCAGGCTGGATGTGCTTCTCCCCAGAGCAGAGGTCTGGGTAATGGTGGGGGGCCTCGTGCCATCATCAGCCCCGTTTTTAAGACAGGTCTGCGATGGGAAGCCTGCGTCCAGGGAAGATGGACGGCAGACTTTTCTAGAGAGCCCAGGAGAGAAGCACTTGGGGGATACCAAAGGGAGCCGTAGAGAAAAGAAGCCATAAGAGAGCTCTCTCCAGTCATGTCCTCATTAGATCCCATTCAGGTCTAGCGGGGGACATTCAGAAAGTGGCCTTCAGAACTGATGCAGAGCCAATCTTGTTGACTGTGTATAATTTATGTTGAAGGAAGACTCAAAAATAAGTCATAAAACATATTTGGTGAAGAAGAGTGACCTGCTCATCCACCAAGAGGCACCTGAGGAAGAAGCACCTGTGCAGGTGATGGTGGTTGTTAGACGATGCTGTGTTTCCCAGGGAGTTCGCTCCAGCCCGCTGTTCCTGCCCCTCCCTGTGCAGTAGAATCATGTGGGAAAGTTTTAAAAAACGGAAACAGGGACTTCCCTGGCAGTCCAGTGGTTAAGACTCCGTGTTTCCACCGCAGGGGGCACGGGTCTGATCCCTGATGGGGGAACTAAGATCCCGCGTGCTGCGCACCGCGGCCCAAAACAAAACAAAACAACAAGGAATAACCAAAGTCAAACACCTGGGCTCCGAATGGCCTGGGGTGGGGCCAGGTGTCCCGTTTTCAAGAGCTAACTGGTGAGCTGGTGCGGCCAAGTTTGAGAACTGCCTGCAGGAACGTCCTCTGGTGGCGTTTGAGTCCGAGCCTCAGAGCATCGGTCTGTGAATCTGACGGTTAATTTCTGTTTCAAAGTTATCTTTTTGGCATGAATAGGGAACCGGGCAGAGCTGAATTATCAAATGGTTCTCAAAAGACTCTTCTTTTCCTTGTGGGAGGTCTTTCCCCTTCATCCTCAGGGTGCCCTGAGGGCTCGACTGAGGGTAGGTCAGAGGAACCCATGCTGAGTGAAGGCTGAACAGCCTCCCTGAGTGTTTTGCTTTGTGAAAACCTGGAGACCTTCACAGGAGGCGGTGCCGAGAGCTCTAAAGTGGACTGAGGTTGAATTTTCCACCCAGTGGGGTGGATGGGGCTTAGGGGTCTAATGTAGCTGTATTTTAAGGGAAAGAAAGCAGTATGACGCTTCTCATGCAATTGAGACAACCAGACTACACAATCAAATCAGACAGCCAGCCTCACAGATATAAGTAAGACACCAAGTCACATCCTGTTTCAGAGCGTGTAATACTGCGAGGCAGGAAAACATGCTTCCCAGGGTTGCAGGGCAAACGACTGATAAAAATTCAAACTGACAGATGCGGTGTGTGAAGTACGTAGACGAGGCAGTAATTAATTCTAAGGCGGAGGTGATAGGGACCTAATGTGAAATGGTGGAGAAAAGAGCATTTATACACACACACACACACACAGAGACTCATAAGTTTCTGGTTCGGAAGGAATAGTACATTTTACCAAGATGGAGAAGAGTGGGGAGCAAGCTTCTGGGGGAAGGGCACTCGAGAGAACCACTTTGGATGTGCTGAGTCAGGAAGATCTGAGAGATCACATCCCTGCTTCGCTTCGGAGCCTTTGCCCTGCTTTTCCCTCCACCTGGAACACGCTTTCCCCAGACCTTCACAAGCCAAGGTCCAGCACCATTCCAGGGCTTAAATCAAATGCCACGTAGGCTTTTCCTGTATTACTCTCGTCTGCTCTTCATTTCCTATGCTACTACCCTGTTTTATTTTCTTGATAACATTTAACACCTTCTGAAATTACGTCATTACTTTAACTCATTTATTACCTATCTTACTCCAGTAAAACGTGAGTTCCGTGTCAGCAGGGACCTTCTGGTCACGTTCTGCACCAACCCATTGTGTAGGACAGTATCTGGCCCGTAGTGGGTGCTCAGTATGAAACTGTGGAATGAATATTAAAGTGAAGATGGTACCAAACAGGCAGCCGAATACGTGAGTCTGAAGCTCAGAGGGGAGGAGAGATCAAACCTGAAGAGACACGTTTAAGAGTCATTGCATAAAGATGGCATTTAAATTCATGGGAGTTACTGAGACCCCTGTGTATTAAGGAAGAGAGGGGCAGAGGGCCCAGGACTGAACCCCGAGAAAGCTCAGGATCTAAAGTTCACCCCTTGACCATTCCTTTGAAATGCTTGTCAGTACTTCTACAGTCTTCTCCTCCTCCTTCAAATTGCCCATCAATTTTTAGAGCCCCGTCCTCCCTTTATACTGTCATGAGCTGTGCACTTTTTTGTTTTCCTGATTAAGATCATAAGTCTGTTAACGGAAGGATCTTATAGTCAAAATTACGTTCTTGAGTTAGATTAGGTTGTATTGGACTGTGATAAACATTGTCACATTATAGCGTTTTACCTACCCACTGCAATGCCAGTGTTAAACGTATTATTATTTCACGTTAATGGACACTGTGCCCAAGTTGTTAGTGGACTGTTGTTAACTTTCCTTTGCAAAAGGTATGTTTTCATTCTCAAATCAATCATCAGATTCATTCAAGAAATCAAATAACGTAAACAGACCCTGCTGTGAATTCAGGGGTGTTGTGAAAATGTAATTGATCAATATTATAATGCTAGATTTTAATTTTTCTCTAAATGTTCAGGATATTGAAAGAGACTTGAAACAAATTGGACTTCAGAACACAAAGGAAAGTAAAATTCCGGAACAAAAACATAAAGCTAAGGTAATAAACATTTTGTCTTAAAGTTTCATTTTAAAAATCTGGCTGGGGATCTGCACCTTGCAATCTGGGTTGCCTCTAGGATTTCACCCCTACTATTTTATGGAGTTGCCTTATTTTGTGATGTTAGACTAATGGTTTTAAGTATCTGTAATGTCAAATTGGGAGTTGTAATTTTAAGGTTTTTATTGGAATGCGAAACAGATTTTTTTTCTTGCTTTCTTCTAGAGAGGGATAAAGTTTGAAATTAATTTAGACAAATGTATTTCTGATGGAGACACCCTCCAAGAGGAAGAGGTATGCCATTAAGTAAAATTCTATTAGTAGGGATGAGAAAATGAGTGTCTTAATAGCATGTTTCATGAACTTTTCCCGTAGAGGGTAGGGAGCATTTTCTAAAATCTTCCTAGAAGGATGTCTGGTGTTCAGACAAGTCTTCCAAAATATTTTTTATCCTTCCATTCTTTTTAAACTTGAGATTATTCCTACAGATGGATTATTCCATTTTAATTTATTGTTCTATTATAAAGGAGCTATTTTCCTCATAATAGTAACTTTTAAATTATAGCCAGATTAAAATAGAAGACATAATATATAGTCAACAACTAATACAGTCACCTAAAAAATACGTAAATGAGCAGTTATCCTGAAACCATGCACATTTATTTTAGATCTTGATTGGTATTGATAACTTTGTACTGATCTTTGGGTAAATCTCAATTATGCACTTGGGCTTGAATTGAAACAGCAATAAATACATGAATACAGGAAACTCAAACCTCATTTTATTACTTGATTTCAACATCTTTTTAAATCCCATTTTTTACCAGAGCTGCTAACAAATATCAGAATTAACTGATTTGTGTTTCTGTTTCACCTTCTCCAAGTTTGCCTTTTAAATTACCATAAGTTAAGTATGAATATGTGTACACCTATATATTTATATATATAAATTATATACTCAATTTCTTCCTTTCATGTTTTTTTGTTGGCTTAAAACTTTTTTAATGTTATTTCTTTCAGAGTTATGTGGTGAAGGATTCTTTTTTTTTTTTTTAAATAGACTTCATGTTGTAGGGTAGTTTTAGGTTCAAGGCAAAATTTAGCAGAAGGTACAGAGATTCCCCATGGAGCTCCTGCCCCCATCCCCCGGCGCATGTAGCCTTCCCTACCATCAAAATCCCTCACCAGAGTGGAACATTCGTTACAATTGATAAACCTACACTGACACATCATAATCACCCAAAGTACATAGGTTACCTTAGGGTTCACTCATTCTCTGGGTTTTGACAAATGTGTAACGACATGTATCCATCATTATAGAATCATACAGAGTATTTTCAGGGCCCTAACAATCCTCTGTGCTCCACCTATCTTTGAGATTTTTATTAGCCTTTTGCTACAAAGACTTCAGTAGAGTGGTGGTAGTTAGCGCTCACTTGTAACCACTAGGCCCTCTAAGTGTCCCGGAGCTGTGAGTACCCGAGGAAGCAGCTCTGGGGACCTTGGTCTGGGTTGGAACCTGAGGGCTGGTCCATCCGCGGTGCTTCTGTGAAGTGAGGCACCGAAGTTGGCCTGCTAGAAAAACGAATGGACTCCACACAGTTTTATCTACCAGTTTGTTCATCCTTTGTTGTTCTCTGCTTTGATAATGCTTGAAATAGAGCGATCATTTTCATTTTCATTATGGAATATTAGAAGCAGTTTCAGGGACCTGACTGGGAATGTTAAAGCTTAAAGCAGGGCGTAGATGAGCTAACCTTGAAAGTTCCTTAGAATGGAACTGCAGGAGAATAAGATTGAAGGCAGGAAATCTGCATCAGATTAGCTGCCACTTGATCAGTGCTTATCACTGTTGACAGGGAGAAGAAACGAACACATTCCTGCTTCTGTCGTGTTCCAACACAGTTCTAGTTTTAAAACCCTACCGATTCATGTAATAAACATACATTGAATACTTACTGCATACCTTGGTAAATGTTACTGGGAACATGAAATAATTTTCAAACTTTTTTCCCCCCAAATATGGCTTATTTCTCATGAAACACCATGAAATTGCTTTAGGCAATGGATATACTGAATGAAACTTTGACCTCTGAGGACGACGTTAAGTTTAAAGGGTATAAATGTATAAAGGAGCATGAAGATTATACAGACAAAGCATTTGAAAAACTCTGTTGCCAGGAAGCAGGTATGTGTCCCTTCAAAGCTGCACGTGAGAAGGAACCATTTTATTGGCAGTCATCTCGAATTCTCTCCTCCTCAACTTGCCTCCCGTGATTTGACTGTCCCCTGTCCCCCACCTCACCCTGAACTGGACGGAGACCTGGCCCCTCTGACTCTACCCACCCCAGGGGTCACACCCCCTGAGACCCACCCTCCTCTCTGCCCCACACAGTCTCCTGGGGCTGTTTCACCTGCCCCCTCCGCTTCCGCTTCTCCCGGTCCACACTCACCCATCTTTCTCAGGATCTGCTGGATGGCTCCATGGACAAGTCCCACTAGCATCTCAGACTCGGCGTGTGTACAATCCAGCTTCTGAGCCCTTTCTTCCCAGGGAGGCTTTATTTCCGGTGATGCCCTCACCAGGCCGACAGCCCTGCTGTCATGCCTGGTGGTTTCTACTCTGAGATGTCCCTGAGTCTTCTCCTCTTTCATTCCCTTTGCCCTGTCCTGCCTCAGCGGTGCGTGTGGTAGGAAACACATGGGCTTTGGAGACCGTACGGAGTTCGAATCCCAGGTGGTGCTGCCACTTTCTGATTGTGTGCCCTTTCACAAGTTACTTCAGATCTCTGAATCTCAGTTTCCTCTTAGGAGTGAGGAGAATAGTACTTGCCACACAGGCTTATTGTGAGGACTAAAGTGAAAATTGATATATTAGGTGCTTAATTTAATATCTGCTCTTCCCTTAATTTTCCCTTTCCCTTCCCCTCACTGAATTGCTTTAGTCTCCTATGCATCCTCCCTTTCTCTAGTATTTCCCCTTCATTCTCTAAGTAATTGCTACAGTCATCTTGTCATATTATTATCCTACTCAAATTTTGTTTTGATAATGCCTGTAGGATACAGTCTGTTGCACATAGTATCACATTTAACACTGCGTGGCGTGATCCTGTGATGACCGCCCCCCTTTCCTGCCCCATCACCCCCTCTCTCTTTCCACAGATGATGGGAGCCACACAGCCTGCTGGAGCCCCATCTTCCCTTGCAGCTATGTGAGCATTCACATACCCTGGCTCGCCTCCGTTTCCTCTTCCTGGAATCGTACACTTTGCCTCATTTCCACCTGGAAAAATCTTTATTCAATTCAGCAGGCATCTTGTGGAGAATCTCCCTTCTGCCAGACTGTGCTAGGTGGGAGGGACCTCAGAGATGAATGAAACCTGGGTCTGCCCTCAGAATCACAGAATTGTCATGAGCCAAAGAAAGGAAGCACAAAACATGCTTTCTGAGCCCCAGTACTAATCGTTGCTCAAGTGCCAGCTGGTTGGAGAGTCGGGGGGTACCTCTCCTGCACAGCTTGGCATTCCAGGGAGCTTGGGCTTTATCCTGTGTGATGACTTTCAGTCAAAGGGAATTAAATGTTATTCGTGATGGAGAAAGATCACGCTGGCTGCCGTGTGAAGAATGCGTGGAGGGGCAGGCCTGAGGGCAGGAGACTGGTCCAGGTGGGAAATGACAGGTGCACAGGGCAGGGCAGTGCAGTGACAATAGACACCAGGTGTGAACTGCTGAGTGTGGGGACTGAGGAAGAGAAGAGGGTCCCAGTCTTCTAATTCAGATGGACAAGGCTATCACCAGCCAAACAGGTGCATACGTCACGCAGAGGGAGGTCAGTAGAGATAATGTAATGGTTTAACTTTGTAACATGTTGAGTTTAGGTCTTTCTGAGCATCAGCTGGAGGTGTTTAGAAGGTGATAGCTGAGTAAGACCAAAGCTCTGGGGCAAATCAGGGCTTCCTTAGCATATGCACAGTATTTCAACCTTGATGGTGGTGGAAAACACCTAGGCACTGGGACTGGAGTGAGAAGGAAATGGAGCTTAGGACAGGCGCTTGTATTGTTTAAACAAGTTTTGGGAGAATCAGAAGAGAGTGAAGCCAAAGAAGGAGAGAACGTTCTGGAAGGAGCCTCAGGGCTTGGCAGTATCAACTGGAAGAGAAAGACCAAATGAGGCAGGTTGAGTAACAGCCCACAGGGTTTGGTTATCAAGGGCCCTGAGTGGCCTCAGTGTAAGCAATTCCAGTGAAAAGAATCAAATCAAAGGTTATTCTTTGCGTGAGTTCCTCTGGGAAGAGGAGAGTGAATTATAAGTCTCAAAAGACATGTATGCTTATTTTTAGATTTTTTTAAAATCACTTCATTAGTTTGATGCTGAAAACGGTCTCTTAATTTAAACTGGGCTCCCGTAATTACTATTCAGGCTGAACAATTTCCCATGTGTTTATTGACATCTGCATTTCTCTTGTGAATTATGTGCTCACATCCTTTATCCATTTTTCTACTGAAAATGACATGTTTGTTTTTTTCTTTATGAGACTCATTTAAATTGAACCTTTGCCTGAAATACGTATTGCAAATAGTTTCCCCAGTTGGTCTTTAGATCTCATTTATAGTAACAACAGCAGATATGTGTGAGAGTGTGTGTGTGTGTGTGTGAGTGTGTGTGTGTGTGTGTGTGTGTACATATAACTTGGGAATTAACTTTACAAGAATCGTGCAGAGCATATGAAGGAAACTATAAAACCTTACTGAGGTATTTAAAGATTATTTGAATAAATGTAGAGAAATAACACTGCTCTATATTGGAAATATTCATTCCAAATAAATATATGGATTTTTGGCAATTTCAATCAAAAGCACAATAGGATTTTTTTCTGGTGTGAGGAGATCTTGGAGATTCTTAACTAGCCAAAAAATTTACAAAAGAAGAGCATTGAGGGGCACTTGCCCTTCCAAATATCAAACTGGATTATATAAATTATAGTCGTTAAAACAATGTGATACTAGCACCAGAATAAAAAAAGTAATGAAAAAAGAGAAAGTTTAGACAAACTCTAGTATGTATCATAATTTAGCATATGCTAAAAGTCACATCATAAGTCAATGGGAAAAGAAAGAATTACTCAGATAAATGCTCTAGGACCAAATGGTTAACAATTTGGGGGAAATTGTGAAATCAGACCCTATATGATGATACAACAAAATAAATTCCAAAATAAAATCAAAGAGTTTATATGTAAAAAAATGAAGTTATATGTCAGGAAATAAAGTGAAAGAAAATATAGGTGAGTATTTTTTTCTTGGCTAGGGAAGAATTAGCTATTCAAAATACATAGGAAAAAATCACAGAATAAATTAGTAATAGATTCAGCTTTAACAGTGAAAGCCTTTGGTAAAGAAAATATTATAATACTAGCCCCTAGCATTGTCATTTTCAGTAGTTTACCTAGGGAAAATAATCATAAATGTCAAAAAAATTAACTACAAATGAGTTCATTAAAGTGTTGTCTATAATAGTAAAAAATTCCAGCAATCTAAAAATCCAGCAAAAAAGAATTAGTTAAGTTATAATATATCCATGAAACAGAATACCATGTTTTCTTTAAAATGGTGGTGTAGAACAATATTTAATAATACAGGTATGGTATGTTGCTAATTGAAAAGAACAAGTTATAAAAGGGTGTGTAACATTTGGCCCCTTTTTTGTTTCAAAACGAAGCAGAAACTATATGCGAAAAGGAAATTTTGAAATTTTAGGTCTCTGGAGAGTGGGGTTGTGGTAATTTTTGTTTCCTTCTTCTACTTACCTGATCTCCAGAGTTCTTATAATGAAACATACTAATAAATAAAGAAAATGATAACACAAGTTATTTTTTAAATTAAGGTAATGGAACAGTTTCTATGGAACCTGACTAAAGTTCACATAAATGCCTCAAGAATTTGTCCATTCACGCCGTTAATATTTCTTTAGTGTTAAATACATTGGCTAGTCAGTCAAATGTTAATAAAAGTGAAATAATTTTAAACCTGTTTATCACTTCAGTCTTGTAAGTTATGATCTATCTATGTCTTAGTCCATTCAGGCCACTGTAACAAAATACCATAAACCGGGAGACTTATAAACAACATTTATTTTGCACAGTTATGGAGGCTGGAAAGTCCAAGACCATGATGCTGGCAGATTCAGGGTCTGGTGAGGGCCCGATTCCATCGTTTTGCTGTGTCCTCACTTAGCGGAAAAGATGAGGGAGCTCTCAGAGGTCTGTTTCATAGGAGCATTAATCCTATTCATGAGGCTCCACCCTCATGACCTAATCACCTCTCCACAGCGCCTCCTCCTAATACCATCACACTGGGCATTAAGTTTCAGCATATGAATTCGAGGGGGCACACAAACATTCGGTCCATAGCAATCTGTATTAGATTGAGGGTCTTGATTTCTCTGCTTTTGAAGTTACCAGCTGATGGACTCCAGGTTTCCTAAGAACTATTTCTTGCAGTTAGTCACACTTTGCTTTGAGATCAACGAGTTATTTCCTTATACTCAGGGTTGTTCATTCCAGATGCTGCCGCTGCAGAGGACAGGAGACAGTGGGATGCTGGGTCTCCTCAGACTCTGCTGCAAATGATGGCCACAGCCGACATCACCTCCACCTGCTCCACTGTGCCTGAGGGTGAAGCTGATATCTATCAGTGGCACGAATTGTCAGCAAGAGGAGAGCGAGGCCCCAAAGGCAGCTGTGTTCACCCCAAATGCTTGTGCTCACCCTGACTTGACAGTTCTCAGTTTTCAGTACAATCCCGATAGATTTGTATTAAATGCCTTTCAAAGATTTTGTTTTGGTTTCTCCCCTACCTCTGCAGAGACTTGCCTACTAATTATCCTAGACAATTGGCCACTGTAGCTATGAGAATGTAAAGGAAGAAAGATCCAGGTTCCCACCTTCCTCCCAAGGAGGGACAGGTGGCTTCATTTGCCTTCCCGTGCTAGCCTAATAACTCCCTTGCAGTTTCTTAGAGGGTCGTTTTTTCCTCAGTAACATCAGAACTGAAACATTAGCTGTCCCACAAGATTTAGAGAGTCAGTGCAAAGATACATATTAGCTTGCTTTGCAAACCAAAGTGCTATTTCCATGTTAGCAGTGTTTAGGATATGATGATATTTTCAACCTAAATTCTTCCATTTTCATTTGGGCTTCTGGCATAGTCTTTCCTTAGCAGAGAGTCCCAGCAATATCTGGGTGTGATCTTACAGGTGGTGGAGATTTTTATTGCTTATTTCCTATGTTCTTCTTGACAACATGGGGCTGGGGGAGAGCTAAAATTTATACCCATCTTATAAGTTGAAGTCTGTAAGTATATCACTGAGATTAGTAATTAAAAGTGTGTGAATTGACCCATATTTATACTATTACAAAATATATTGCATATCATCAAATTTACAAGAAAGGGCTTGCAAACATAATACAATTTAATCCATCCTAAGCCAATGAGACAGTAAGAGGGGAAACCTAATTTAAAATAAATAGAATAGAAATGTCAACACACCAAAACAGCCAGTTTACAGGGCAAAAAATGACTCTCCTGCCCAACAGTACATGATAATATTGTCACTAAACTTTTCTGTATCTCAGCTTCCTTGCTAATAAAATGAGGGGTGGGATTAGGTGACCTCCAAGGATCTCACATTCTGTGATTTTATAAAAACTCAAATGAAGAAGCATTTTTAGTTTCAATAATCCAGGCTCCTTTTCAGACGGCCGAGTGATCGTGATTGAAGGCATTCCAGAAAACAGGAAACAGTGGCGGCTTGAAACGCCGGGAACTTTAATGAGTGTTTTGACAGCAGCACATCTAACAAGCAGCTCATTTTCTGCCAACGATGGAGAATTTGGTATGTAGTTTACTTTTAAGAACATAGTCCCCTGTGGAATTTTGTCAGAGGTGTAAATGCAGACTGGGGATAAAAATAGCCTGGAGAGAGAATTGGGAGGGTGTCTAAGCCTTTTCAGAAGCTGATTTGCTTGTCCAAGCCTGTTCCAAATGCCATTAACAAAAGACTTGAACTTCTGAGAAAAGTAGGATCATTTTCTGTAATGTGATGGGTTGACAAGTGATGAAAAGTTAGGTAGGAAGGACCAGTGGCTTTGTAGGTGATGCGCTAGTGCTTAGCGCTACCTCACAGAGTCCGTTTATTCTGACAGCTCTTCAGCAGACTCAAATTACCATCCTGGGGGCCGTAAAATACATCTTAATATAGTTTTTTTTGGCTTTGGGTTTTTGCCTCCAATGTTTAGCAAGATTATGCTGCTGTTGACTTTAAGGGAAACCAACCGTTACTTTCTAAAGTTCGAGGGAATTCCTATCACAGTGGGGATTTGGTCCTCCACTGGGTGTGCAGGTGTAAACTGCTACGAGCAAAGCCATTTGGGGCAGGCAGGTATCAAACAGAGAACACCTGCGCAGGGGCGAGGTTTCAGGGCTGGGCTTGCTGAGATGCGAGGCTGAGGCGGAGTGGAGGACTGGTTAGAAACCTGACAGTGATGGAGGCGGATGCGTGCTTGCAAAGTTGAAGGACAACACTGAGAATAATGCAAGAGTCGTACCCGACTGTTTCTGAAGAGTGGGTCTGCCCGTTTGTGAAGCTCAAGAGAAGGGGAATATTTGTGAAAGGTGAGTCTGAAAGAATGGACAGCATTTTATTGAGGAACGAATATTTCAGGTGGGGAGAACTTGCAGATCCACAGGCCTGAGAGACTGAGAAAGACGGTATGGGCTTCCCTGGTGGTGCAGTGGTTGAGAGTCCGCCTGCCGATGCAGGGGACACAGGTTCGTGCCCCGGTCTGGGAAGATCCCACATGCCGCGGAGCGGCTGGGTCAGTGAGCCATGGCCGCTGAGCCTGCGCGTCTGGAAGGCCCGCGTACCCAAAAAAAAAAAAGAAAGAAAAAGAAAGACGGTATGACTAAAATCTAGGCGCCGGAGAAGGGACCAGAGTCCCTGAGTAGATGAAGTCCTTCGGTGTTATTACTTATCTCAGCTGCCACACTTAAAACTCAAGGCGGGGGTGGCAGTGCAGTGGGGAGAGAGAGAGGAAATGCCTCCCTGCCTTCAAGGCTCTCTTTCAAGTACCTTCAAACCACAGACGGCAGTGTGATTGCATGTCTGCTCCCTCCCCTTCTATCCTGGGATAGAAATATCATCTGTAAGGATGGGGCTGGGGGCCGGTGGGGAAGAAATTTTGGGCTGGCCTGGCTTGGCCTGGAGGCCAAGGGCTGGGGCCACAGACCAGGTAGGAGGGGGGCGCCCATCTTTCAGGACACTGCGATGGTGACATACTGGTGACTATGATGTGTCTTCTTGGGTTTGTTCCTGTGCTTCTTGGAGAGAGTCATAGAAAACTTCATTTGATCTTGCATACCAAATTAATTAACTCATGAACTTACTGCATTTTCAAATGGATGGCTTTACATTAGGCATATATGAGTAATTTAATCTAACAAGTGGGATTAAACATAGGAACTTGTCTCTAAGGGTAGCATTCAAAGCAAAATGTAGGTATTTTCTTTTGTAACCTGCTAAAGGTGCAGGCATCCCCTCCCACCCCAGCTGTGCCTTCTCTGCTCTTTCAGCCTCTCACTCTGTTGTTGGCCTCACCCCATCTTTCCTATCTCTGTAGCAAGCTTGACTTCCTGTCTCTGGTCATCTCTTCTTTCTTTACCTCTCCCTCTGCACCCCTGCCAGATAATCCTAAAAATCCTTTTAAATCCTGCAAAAGATTCTCCCATACCCTCAGGATAAAATCCAGACTCTGCAGACTCTAAGTGCCTTCAAGATCGGATGGCCTCTCCGGGCACCAGGGCTGCTAGCACTTCTCCATCAGCAAATATTTCTCCCTCAGTTTAGAAAGGTGAGTCTTTCTAAAGACTCCTCCCTTTGCCAAAGTAATTCCTCCTGTAAGATTTCACTCTGATGCAACCTCCCGGCCATTTCTGATGTTTTATCAGCAGATACCCTTCCCTCCCTGCTTTTCGCTATATTGCCGAACAGGGCTTTACAAAGGTGTCTGGAATATAGGAGATTCTTAATCAGTTAATAATTGGAATGAATGAGTGGAAGAGCCTGTAACTTGATTGACATGCTTCCCTTTAATCCAAAAAATTCTAATAAGCTTTCTGTAAATCCTCAAGTTTGTCTAAGGTCTCTCTGTCTTTTCTCTGTTAGTTGCCTCTGACAATTTCACATGAATTCAGTCTCATACTCAAATTCATTCACACTCAAATATTGGTTAAAGGCATGAAAGACATTTCCTTATTATGTTTATCATTTAAATTCAGGCCATAAAAAGATGCAGTAGCAATTTTATTTGAAATTTTAGAGATTGCTATTAAAAACCTGGATCTCAATTAAACTACTGCCTGTGTACCACTGACAAGGAACCACTGGTTTTTTGTTCGTTTTTATAAATTTATTTATTTATTTTTGGCTGCATTGGGTGTTCATTGCTGCACGCGGGCTTTCTCTAGTTGGCGGCGAGTGGGGGCTACTCTTTGTTGTGTTGCGCGGGCTTCTCATTGCAGTGACTTCTTTTTGCGGTGGCTTCTCTTGTTGTGGAGTATGGGCTGTAGGTGGGCAGGCTTCATCAGTAGTTGTGGCTCGCGGGCTCAGTAGTTGTGGCTCATGGGCTCTAGAGCTCAGGCTCAGTAGTTGGGGTGCACGGGCCCAGCTGCTCCGTGGTATGTGGGACCCTCCCGGACCAGGGCTCGAACCCATGTCCCCTGCATTGGCAGGCAGATTCTTAACCACTGCAATACCAGAGAAGCCTGGAACCACTGTTTTTTATTTTTGTTTTTGTTTTTTTGGGGATTGAAACACCTCCCTGCCGTGGAAGCCCGAGTCTTAACACTGGACCATCAGGAAGTCCCCCAGGAACCACTGTTTTAAATGCCTGAGAAAACATCAGGGCACGTCTCCTTTGCATTCCTCTAAGTTTGGTTTCCCTGCTTAATATCCCACAAGACACTGTAATTCTCTGATCATAAAAGTAAAGTTCACTTTAGTTTCCTGTTTAATATCTTTCTTCCTCACTAGACTATAAGCTTCTGAGAGCTTTGTCTTGATCACCACCCCACTCGGCCTCTCCATCCCTAGCGCCTGGTATAATGCTCAGAACTTAGTAAGTCACCATGCCTTTGTTTTTTTGTTTTTTGTTTTGCGGTACGCGGGCCTCTCACTGTTGTGGCCTCGCCCGTTGCGGAGCACAGGCTCCGGACGCGCAGGCCCAGAGGCCATGGCTCACGGGCCCAGCCGCTCTGCGGCATGTGGGATCCTCCCGGACCGGGGCACGAACCCGTGTACCCTGCATTGGCAGGCGCACTCTCAACCACTGCGCCACCAGGGAAGCCCCACCATGTCTTTGTGAATGAAAATACAGCCATAGCACGTTTTTACTATCACTTTATGTAAAGGCATGGGATTGCCAATATTTGTATTGCTATCAAGTTGGATAAGGAAATTACAATGCTAATTATTCTTACAGCTCTATGGAGTCTTTGTAAAGACTTTCTGCATGTGTAGATTTTAATAACTTTGATTACAGGTGTAATAGACACAATTTATAAAGGCATTTAAGGATTCGTTGTCGTACATTTAAGTATGATTCATATATCGTTTGTCAGTCTTCAGCTTAAATATCCAACTCCTTGAAGATAAATTCCTTTGATGTTTCTAGCTCTAAATTCCATTTGAAAATGAGGGTTTGGACTTTTCCTCAGTGGTTAAGAATGGTTAAGAATTGTGTTAAGAATCTGGAGCAGTGGTTAAGAATCTGCCTGCCAATGCAGGGGACACGGGTTTGAGCCCTGGTCTGGGAAGATCCCACATGCCGTGGAGCAACTAAGCCCGTGTGCCACAACTACTGAGCCTGCGCTCTAGAACTCGCGAGCCACAACTAGTGAGCCTGTGCACCACAACTACTGAGCCCGCATGCCACAACTACTGAAGCCTGCCCACCTAGAGCCCATGCTCTGCAACGAGAGAAGCCACTGTAATGAGAAGCCTGTGCACCGCAACGAAGAGTAGCCCCAGCTCTCTGCCACTAGAGAAAGCCCGCACACAGCAACGAAGACCCAATGCAAAAAAATAAATAAATAAAATTAATTAATTAAAAATAAATAAATAAAAATGAGGGTTTATCAAGTACATGTTTAATTTGTGCTAATTTTAAAAGTTTGAAATAGCAAGACTTTACAAAATCCTTTTAAATGACTCTAAGTAGTAAGAGTGACACTCTTTCAAAGAGAAGTATTTTTTTACATGTGCATAATTAATTCAGGTCAGTAATTTTGTTTATAGTTTAACCACTCCAAGGGAATCCTTGGTGGGAAGGTAACCTCTATTTTTCTAGTGTAAGTTTTCGGGCCACACAGTTGCCTTGGTAACATCATAGTTGCACATCCTGATAACAGCTGATTTACATTTCTGTAGTTAGCCTTTCATTCTTTCATCTATCCTGTTAAACAAAAATAAGAGCCTCCTAAAACTGTCTTCCTAAGACAGGAAAATAAAAACTGTCAGATTCCCACACCAGGAGGAATACTCTGGCTTGCTTTTAATTAGCCAGACTACCTCATAGATGAGATATATCAATCTGTTTCATTTGTTTAATGCGCTTTAGGAAGTAACATGGGCTATGATTTGGGATGAAATATGTTGATTTAAATAGGTAAATATAAGTGTGGTGAGATTTCTACTTGTGTGTACATGAGCAGTCATGTAACAGTTTACCGAAAAAAAATAAAAAATAAAAAAAGCCACACTTTGCTCTTAATTCCACCTTTGGAGGAAAGTTCCTATTTTTAATCCCACTTGCTAACAGAGGGTAGGGATTTTTTTTTTCCTGGAAACTAAAGTGAAATACTCTTTAGACACCTAGGAACCAGATGTTTGTACAGTTTGTGTGGGAAAGGTATGTTATGATAGATTACAAACATGAGCACAGTCCTTCACTCTTACCTGTATCCATGCCCTTTGCAGTATGACTTTGCAGCTCCTCTGTCATTAAATGTTTTTCTTCCCCTCTTCCCTTGAGTCTTGACTGGTGTTGTGATTTGCTTAGGTCAGTAGAATGCACCGGAAGTGATGGTGTGGCAAATCTGAGTATTTAAGGAGCTTCTGCTCTTTCTTTTGGAATCCTGTCCATCTCTCAACTAGCTCCAGTTGCCTTGCTGGAAAATGAGGGACCGTGTGGAACAGAGAGACAAGCCATCCCAAGTGAAGCCATGCTAGACCAGCCAACCTCCAGGTGGCCAGGCAAGTGACTGCAGATGCCATGAGGGGCCCAGCTGAGACTGGAAGAGCCGACCAGCTGAGCCCAGCCCAAATCGCCCAACTGCAGAATTGTGACCTATATAAATGGTTACTGTTTTAAGCCACTAAGTTATGTGGTAGTTTATTATTCTGGAAAAGCTAACTATTGTAGACATACTTAGCAAAATTCCTAAAGTGGTAGTTGAAAGTAGGCTAGCTCTACATAATTTTAAAGCCGACTTAAGAAACCAACATTTTAAATTCTCTGTGAATCCTTTTAGTTCTTTTGTGGATTCTTTTAAGAAAATCTGTCTCAACAATGTTCTTGATTGCACCAAGGTTTTTGTAGGGAAAAAAACAGACATCATTGACAGGCATATGAAGAGATGCTCAACATCATTAATCATCAGTAACTTTAAATCAAAACCACAAAGAGGGGCTTCCCTGGTGGCACAGTGGTTAAGAATCCGCCTGCCAATGCAGGGGACACGGGTTCGAGCCCTGCACCTGGAAGATCCCACATGCCACGGAGCAGCTTGAGCCCGCGTGCCGCAACTAATGAAGCCCATGTGCCTGGAGCCCATGCTCCACAACAAGAGAAGCCACCGCAATGAGAAGTCCGAGCACTACAACGAAGAGTAGCCCCCACTGCCACAACTAAAGAAAGCCCACGTGCAGCAATGAAGACCCGACACAGCTAAAAATAATAAATACAATTTTTAAAAAACAAAACAAAACAAAAACCACAAAGATCTATCATCTCACACTCATTCGATGGCCACCATATAAAAAAACCAAAACACCAGAAAATAACAAGTATGTGGAATAATTGGAACCCTTATGCACCATTGGTAGAATTGTAAAATAGTGCAGCCATTATGGAAAATGGTATGGCAGTTCCTTAAAAAATTTAAAATAGAACTGCCTGATCCAGCAATCCCTCGTCTGGGTATATATACAAAAAGATTGAAAACAAGATCTCGAAGAGATGTTTTTGCACACCCATGTTCAATGTACCATTATTCACAATAGCTAAGATGTGGAAGCAACCTAAATGTTCATCAGTGGATGAATGGATAAAGAAAATGTGGTATATACATACAATAGATTATTATTCAGTGTTAAAAAAAGAAAGAAATCCTGTCACAAGCTACCACATAGATGAACCTTGAGGACATCATGCTAAGTGAAGTAAGCCAGTCTTGAAAGATAAATACTGCAAGACTCCCCTTAGGTGAGGTATTTACAGGAGTCAAATTCTTAAAAAGTATAATGGTGATTTCCAGAGGCTGGGGGGAGTGGGATATAGGGAGTTGTTTTTCAGTGGGAGTAGAGTTTCGGTCATGCAAGATGAAAAAGTTCTAGAGAGCTGCTGTACAACCATGTGCATATAGTTAAGAATACTGTACTGTACAACTGGAAATTGTTAAGAGGGTAAATTTCTGTTATTTTTTCTTTTACCACAAACAAAAGAATCTCAGACATCGACTCAAAAAGTAATTCAGAATTCCTTGATTGTCTCATGAATTGTTTTATTATGGTCTCTTTGAATTGGGATCCAAAATGATTTGATTGATATGTTAAAAAAATAACAATTCAGAGGAGTAATACTGTGAATGTGAGGAATTTTAGTTATACCTTATCCAGTTTTTTTCACCTATATTTTCATTTTTATGAATATGCAAGAGTGATATAAGATTAAAAATGTATGCTTAGGGAGGACTAAAAGAGTTCTTATAGTAATTTATATAAAATATAAATTCTGGGCTTCCCTGGTGGCGCAGTGGTTGAGAGTCCGCCTGCCGATGCAGGGGACACGGGTTCGTGCCCTGGACCGGGAAGATCCCACATGCCGCGGAGCGGCTGGGCCTGTGAGCCATGGCCGCTGAGCCTGCGCATCCGGAGCCTGTGCTCCGCAACGGTGAGAGGCCATATATATATATATATATATATATATATATATATATATATAAATTCTAAGGGCTAAGAAAACATTGTCCCATTTTATTGGGAACATTTTCTTTGCTATTGGTGTATAAAATATGTGCATCTCATAATCATTGGAAGCTTAGAGTTGTTGAGGGGATGCTGCTTTCTATAAAGAAATTAAATATTGTACTACCTTCATTCTGATTTTTTTCCCAAGAGAAAAAAAGTACATTTTTTTTTGAATTTTAATTTTTAAGAGTCTGGCTTACCTCATTCTTTTTTTAATGTTTGCAAAGTATTTAATAGTATGTGGGCATTATTTGAAATCACAAGAGTCAAGATTTTTTTTTTTTGGCTGAGCCGTGGGGCTTGCAGGATCTTAGTTCCCCAACCAGAGATTGAACCCACACCCTTGGCAGTGAAGGCACGGAGTCCTAACCGCTGGACCACCAGGGAATTCTCAAAAAGTACACTTTAAATAACAACAATTAATTCACCCCCTCACCTCCTTCCTCCCCTCACCAAAAAAGATAGAATTGTGGGTGTGTGCTTTGGGTTTTCTTTGCAGACATCAGTGATTAACCGTAACCATAAACTGCATACTGGGTATAAAAACAACGAAGAATAAGGGTAGTGCAATAATGTTGGAAAGTCAAGTTTTTACAAGATTTTCTTAAATTTTCTATACAATCAAAGCATCTACTCCCAAAGTGGGATTATTTTGTCTCTTCATCTCTGATCCTTATTCTTCTTACTTCTTTCTCTTGTGTTGCCTACTACCTTCAGTACAATGCGGAATAGTTGGTGTCAAGTTGTCACCTGTCTATTCTCTGTTTTAATGGAAATTATTCAAAGGTTTTACCATTGTGGTTGATGTTCAATATAGGATTTTTAGTATATGTCCCTCTCGAGATGTATAGGCTGGGATGCTTTAATCTCTCTTTCTGTCATTTAACAGTGGGACCATTAAAACAATGGCTTCCTAAAGAAGAGGGGAAGGTAGAAGTGGCCTCTGACATTGAAGTAGATGAAGAACAACCAGGACCAAGATCTGATGATGATGATACGTAAGTAGGTCATACCTAGATGCCTAAATGAAGCACGGGAAATAGTAAAAATGGTAAAAAGTTAAAATGCTGTTGTTGAGGCATAGAATATAGCCTCAAAGACCCAGCTAAGGAGACCAAGTTTTCTTATATACATGGGTTTGTCTCTGGGTTCTCCGTTCTTTTCCAATGGCTTTGTTTCCCCTTTCTGCATCAGTGATATTCTGTCAGTTACTATGGCTTTATTGTACCTTTTGATATCTGGTATGGCTAGTCCTCACAGTTTCCTCTAGTCTCCATATCATTTTCTTCAAAATTATCTTTGCTGTTGCTTTTTACTCAACGTATACATCCTTTCATTCTCTTGTAAAGTGTCATGAAAAAGCTTGTTGGGATTTTGATGAGAATGAGATTACATTTGTTGACTAATTTATGGGAATTCACATCTTTGTGATTGTAAGTCTTAACATCCATGAATATAGTATAGCTCTCCATCTATTTATGCCTTTTAAAATATTCTTCCGTATTTTTGTGGTTTTCTTCATGATATAGATACCACTTAACTTTTTTGTTGTTGTTGCCATTATTAATGGGGTCATTTTTCTCCTACTACATTTTGGTACTGCTAGTATATGGAACACTATTGATGTTGTATCCTGTAACCTCACTGAACTCTCTAATTAGTTCTAAAATTTGGAGTCCTTTGAAGTTTAAAATTTTTATTATAATTTATTTTTAAAATAGGTAATATATTTACATGTTTCAAAATTCAAAAGGTATATTCTTTTCATAGTCTTTCTGCTATCTCATTACCTCTGCCACACAATTCCTCTCCCCAGAGTCAACCAATCCAACCTGCTTCTTGTGCATACTTCTTCTGAGAAATTCCATTAAAATGTAAGCAAATCTGTATATCTTGGTATGTGTATATTCCTTTTCTTTTTTATAGAAACAGTTTCATAATGTAGATACTATCTCGCAACTTCCTTTTATCACTTAACAGTGTATCTTGAGTACCTATCATAATATACAAACAGTAGTATATAGAGAGTTTAAATTCCCAGAACAGCAAAGTGTTGTGTCAAAGAGTATGTACATTTGTAATTGGATAGTGTCAAATTGCCCTTCACAGAGGTTACACCTATGAACACTTCCACTGACAGGGTATGGAAGTGCCTGTTTCCTTGTGCATTTCCTTGCTCAGTGTGTTACCAAACTTACGGATCATTGCACAGTTGATAGATTTTAAAATGCCATTTCAGGTTTGTTTTAATTAGCATTTCTTTTATGAGTAAGGTTGCCTTTCCTTATGCTTAAGATCCATCTTTATTTCCTCCTTTGGGAATCAGTTTTATTTATAGCCTTAGTCATTTAAAAAATTTAGGCTATTAACATTGTGTTGATTTGGGGAACTTTTTGTATTTTAGGGAAATTAGTCTTTTAGCTGTAATATGTTTCAAGAATATTTTCCCGTTTTTTGTTTGCTTTTTGATTGTATTTATAGTGACTTGTGCCATGAGGAAATTTCTTACTTTTGTTTACTTAGATTTATCAATTATTTAATAAAAAATGATACCAGAATTTTTTAGTACTTTTATGATTTAGTTTTCTATTTAGTTAAATATTTTGTTCATCTTGAATTTTACTTGTACTGTAAAGTGTGGCTCCAACTTAATTTTTTCCCCAAATAACTCCTTACTTATTCCAACGCCATTTATTAAAAATCTTTATTTTTGATACCAATTTGAAGTGCCACTTTTATGAGATACAACATTTTTATGTGTATTTGTATCCAATTCTTATTCTTTCTAGTCTAATTATTATAAACATGTTTATAATATGTTTTATTGTTTGGGGGGGGCTTTCATTTTTCATAATTTTCCTGTCTAGTCTTGTTTGTTTTTCCATGGGAACATTGGAATCAACCTGTCTAGCAAATAAAGGAGGGAGGGAGGGAGGAAGGAGGGAGGGATGGAAGAAGGAAGGAAGGAAGGGAGGGAGGGAGGGAGGGAGGGAGGAAGGGAGGGGAGAATTTTCTCAGCCTCTTCCTTTTTCTCCTGGTCTCTATTATTGCTGATGCGAAATCTGCTATCATCTAATTGTTTTTCCTTTATAGATGTGCTCTCTCCCTAGTACTTTCATAACTTACTTTTTCTTCTTTCATTCTTATGTTTTGCTATGATATCTCTAAGTCTGGATTTATCTTTTATCCTCCTTGGCTCACTTTCTTCTGAGAACTCATGACTTTCTTTAGTTCTGGAAATTTTTTACCTATTATTTCTCCAAATACCGCTTTTCTTATTCCCTCCATTTTGGCTCTCCCATTAGATAGATTCTAGAGCTTCTCAATCTGTCCCCAATAACACCTAGTTGTACGTTCATATTTTTTAAAAAAGTATTTATTTATTTAGGCTGCACTGGTTCTTAATTGTGGCATGCACTCTTAGTTGTGGCATGCATGCAGGATCTAGTTCCCCGATCCCTGGCCCCCCTGCCTTGGGAGCATGGAGTCTTACCCACTGAACCACCAGGGAAGTGCCCTTTCATATTTTTTATTCTTTGTTTCAATCTAGGTGAATTCTTGAATACTGTTTTCCAATTCTCTCTGGGTATCATCTATTAGGTTTTTAACTTAAATGATTACATATTTCCTAATATTTATAATTATTTTTTCTTATATGTTCTTGCTTCATTCTTGCATAATTGTTTCCCATAATTTAAAAACATTTTAAAATGGATGTTGTGCTTTAATTTCTCTTGTTGAGCATACTTACTTTAAGGGCTTTATCTAAATCTTCTGTCGATGCCAATTATAAACAATCTATAATAAAGAAGAGTTTTATTCAAGCAAAACTGCGAACTATAGACCAGGAGCATAGACTCCACCAAGGAAGAAGAAAGCCCTCTGGAGAAGCATGGTTTTCAGTAGTTTTATATCTTATCAGAACAAAGAACAAACATCAAACATTACAGGGGTACCTTCCTTCAAGGTTTCAAAAGAGCCATTAGCACATACACAGCGAGTCAGCATGACCTTGGTGTCTGGGAAGGGACCCTCATCTTTGAGGGAGTATTTTAGCATTGGTGTCATAGGAACAGGGATCATTTATTCCTATCTTCAGAGTAGACACTTTTTTTAAAATTTATTTTTGGCTGCATTGGGTCTTCGTTGCTGCACACGGGTTTTCTCTAGTTGCAGCGAGGGGGGCTACTCTTCATTGTGGTGTGTGGGCTTCTCATTGCAGTGGCTTCTCTTGTTGCGGAGCATGGGCTCTAGGCACGCGGGCTTCAGTAGTTGTGGCTCCTGGGTTCTAGAGCACAGGCTCAGTAGTTGTGGCGCATGGGCTTAGTTGCTTTGCGGCATGTGGGATCTTCCTGGACCAGGGCTTGAACCTGTGTCCCCTGCACTGGCAGGCAGATTCTTAACCTCTGTGCCACCAGGGAAGCTCCCAGAGTTGACACTCTTTAATGGTTAAAGCAGATGTACAAGTGTGTTTGGCCATAAGACAGGCTGTTCCAGGTCACATAAAGTATAGGCCAAATCATGTATAAGCCAGAATGACTTCCCCATACCCCAATACGTGAAAATTTCTTCCAGTGCCTCCATAAAAATAATTTCATCTCTTGGGCTTCCCTGGTGGCGCAATGGTTGAGAGCCCGCCTTCCGATGCAGGGGACACGGGTTGGTGCCCCGGTCCGGGAAGATCCCACATGCCGCGTAATGGCTGGGCTCGTGAGCCATGGCCGCTGAGCCTGCACGTCCGGAGCCTGTGTTCCGCAACGGGAGAGGCCACAACAGTGAGAGGCCCACGTACCAAAAAAAATAAAATAAAATAAAATAATAATAATTTCATCTCGAGTTAGTTCAATGGTCCAACTTAAAAAAAAAAATTTGTTGCCCACCTTACCTTTCTTACCATTAGATTTATTCTTGTGTTTTAGAATTTTAGTTTGCAGGCTCATTTTGTTTTGGAAGTTCTTTTGTATTTTTTTTTTTTTTGCGGTATGTGGGCCTCTCACTGCCGTGGCCCCTCTCGTTGCGGAGCACAGGCTCCGGACCCGCAGGCTCAGCGGCCATGGCTCACGGGCCCAGCCACTCCGCGACACGCGAGATCCTCCCGAACCGGGGCACGAACCCGCGTCCCCTGCATCTGCAGGCGGACGCTCAACCACTGCGCCACCAGGGAAGCCCTCTTTTGTATTTTGTGGGGTTTTTTTGGTTTTGTTTTTAAAATTTTCTTCCCTCCTTTCTTTCCTATCTCCTACATATCTGACAGGTTTTGGGTTTCTTCATTGGGTTCCCCTCCATTCTTCCTAAATGGAACCCTTGAAGAGCTGCTCTTCAGTGCAAGGGTGGTCTAGGAAAAAAGCTCAGGAATGTGGCTTGTCTGTCTTGGCTCAGTCTCTGGGAGAAAAATACTTCCTGAGAAATTTATAACCATGGATTTGTCTTCACTCAGATTTGGAGTTTGAATTTACAATACTTGGATGGTCTAGAAACATGTACATTGAACAATTAACATTAAAATTAGCAGTAAGAGATTGTAATACTCTGGGATCTCTAGAAGAAATACATATAAAACATTCTGGAGGGATATAGCCTCAATCCAGGTTACAGTGAATTTCTCACTAAAGCACTGCTGAAGATGAGCTCACAATTAACGATTAAATCCACTATGAGAGACAGCAAACACAACAAATAGCTAAATTAGGTCATAAACAACTTCAGATCATATTATGAGTATTTAATATTTGCATAATAATTACTATTGTGTATTTAAAATTATTTAATTAAAATAAGAAAACATGAGAAAAAAGCAGGTCTATCAAAAAAGAACAGGAAGATTTGATAATCAACCAATAGAACTTCTGAACGTGAAAAAAGTCTTCCAATAGAAATTAAAATTCAGCAGTTTAAAAACAGGATAGAGTTAATGAAGGAATTAGTAACTAGAAGATAGATCTGAGGGGGAAAAAATGATCGAAAATGTGAAAGAAGTGTTAAGAGGCATGAAGGCTCAA